TCAAATTGTAACATTTTTTCGTCTGGTGGACCAATTTTCTCAGTAATTGGTCCATTTTCGACACAATGAGAATCACAATTTTTTTTTAATTTTTAAGCGTTTTCTTTGTTTCAAAAACCAATTTTTTATTAATTTTTCATTTTTCATACTTCATTTTTTATTATCTTTCTTCTGACCCCCGTCCAACCTTTAAATCCAAGGCGATCGACCCAACTTTTCTTCAAAAATTCAACAATTTCCAGCTTAAAAACTCAATTTACTTCCATTTGTCATGATTTTCCATCCAAAGAAACTTTCTTCTCGTTCAAACTATCATTGGAATCGCGCAGAATCCTTCAAACTTTGAACTCTTTTCGTTTCAAGATCCCAATTTTTGCATTTCCCATACTGTATTTATGTTCCCTTCATAATCCTTTTCTCTCTTTTTTTTTTGAACCAATCATTCTTCTTCTTCTTCTTTGGGCATGTCAGGTGGTCCTGAAACAAGAATCGCTGGGGAGAAGAAATGTAGATGATCTAATTAAGATAACTCATAACGGCTATTCTTCCTTTCCCGCCGCCGTCGCCGCAAGTTTTTCGAGTTTGAAAATTTTTCAACAACAGGGATTGGAATTCCCTAGTTCAAACGTTAGTTTCCTGTACTCATAAAAAATCTAAAGAGCTTTGATTCTGAAAAAAATATGGAACTAAAAAAAGATGAGCTTAGATATTTTCGAAATTTCAAAAATTTCACTAATATTTTTGAACCAGAATGAATAAAAAAATTCATGAAAAACTACAAAAAAACATTTTTTTCTGCAGTGAATATATAAAAATCAATTTTGGATCGAATTTTCAATTTTTTTCTAGGGTTTTTCAAGGCTCAATAAAAAACAGTTGACCGGTTTTTTTCTAAAATAAATTCCTAAAATTTTTTTTGATACTGACATCTACAAAGGCTTATGTTCATCGTAGGAATGAAAAAAAAAACTCTCAATTTTTTTTTTAAATGGATAGTGCTGTTTGTTTGATCCTGAATGTAGATCCAAAGAAAAAATAGAAGTTCAGAATAAATTGGGGCATTTATTTGAGCATAAAGCTTAAATTTGATAACTGAGTTTTGCTCAATATCGAAGAAACTGAAACAGAGAAATAATATTGATCAGTCCAGACCTTTCAGCCAACAATAATTTCAATAAAGATGATAATTCGATCAAAGAGAAAGTTCCAAAAAAACTATTAGTTATTTCTGACTGAAGAACTTCAGACCAAAGTGACCTAAAGTCAGATTTTCTCAACTGAAAGCTCCAGAACCTTTGAAGCTTCAACGTGAATCCTTCAGAAGCTCTAGAAGCCGTCAACCAAGATCTAACAAGGCAGGAGACTCAATAACTTCAAACAGAAAGCCTAAAGCCTAATAAAAATTCGAAGATAGTGAGTAGCTCTGACCGAAGACCTTCCAAAAAAGGTCCAAAATGCAAAAGCTCAAGAAACCAGGAGGCTACTGAGTTAAGGAAAACTTCTAAAAGACGCTCTAATCAGACAGCTTTTGACCGAAAAAAAAAAATCATGTTGTCAACTGAGAAGTCTCCAACTTGATGAGGAGTACCAGACTACCCAGAAGCCTGACCGGAAAACAGAAAACTTGTTGTTTCTAAGAAACGGTTGTGCAGAAGTGCAGAAGCTCAAATTCAGCCAGGAGCTCTAGAAGCTGAAGATAATGCCAGGAGAGCTCTGACCAAAACTTCCGACCCGGTTCCAAAAAAGGGCAGAAGCTCAAGACAAAAAAACGCTAGGGAGAGGGCGGAAGAGAAGGATAAACGCGGCGGCCACGCCCACTTCCCGATGTTCGGCGGATCGACTTGGCGGGCGACGCCGACGGCGCCGATGGTCGGAGGACGTAGGGGACGGAGAAAAAGTAGGCGGAGCCACGGAAAGCCTCCACCCACCCCATACCACATTTCATCTGCAGTACCTATTTGCGCTAATCTAACAGCCTCTCTTCTTTTCCTTCGGGGCCCTCCTCGGCACCCAATTCCATTCCGTTCGCCCTTTATTGGTACTTTTGTGGGTCCGTCTCTCCTCCGCGAAACGAATCCTCCAGGTCTAATAGGCTTGACGAGACGGTCCCGGCTCAGGCGTCATTGACTTTTCAATGACCCTTTTCTCCTAATAATAGCCTTTAAGATGTTTCCTTCGGCGCTTTGGGTGGCGATGATCCTTTGATAGCTTGTAAAGCTTTTTTGCTGGAAGTGATGCTCCTTTAATAGCTTCTGAAGCTTTTTCTTGAAGGTGATGCTCCTTTAATAGCGTGTTAGACTTTTCCTTGAAGGTGACGCTCCTTTAATAGCTTATGAAGCTATTTTGAACTTATGCTCCTTTAATAGCTTTTAAAGCTTTTCTGTTGAAAGTGATGCTCCTTTAATAGCTCGTGAAGCTCTTTTGAAGTCTATGCTCCTTTAATAGCTCGTGAAGCTCTTTTGAAGTCTATGCTCCTTTAATAGCTCATGAAGGCCCATGAATCCAACTGTACCTAGTTGTTCAAATGAAACTTCCAAAGAACGTGTACTCTCAAACATTTTATGCGCCTTTAATAGCTCGTTACGTTCTTTTCAAAGTTTATGCTCCTTTAACAGCTCGTAAAGCTTTTTTCAACCCACCCTACGTCTTAAATGGTCATTATTCTAAAAATCAAGCTTCCAAAGCTTTTTTTAGAACAAGTTCGTTTGTATCTTGGACTTTGAAGAGGTCATGATCCTTTAAAAGTTCGTGACATTTTTTCGAAGGTGGTGCTCCTTTTTTGCTTTCTAGGCTCATTTAAAAGCTCACAAGCCTGTACTGAGATTCATAACCGTAGCTCAAATCGGAATTTTCAATACCTTATTCATTTCATACGCTTTTAATAGATCGTGAAATCATGCTCCTTTAAAAATTTTTTTGAAGCTTCCTATCCGACTTTCAAAGTCCTCAGGCTCCTTTCTGAGCTCCTCAAGGTAATTTTCTCCAAATATATGCCATATTCTTAATGATTATTCAGGCCCGACAATAGTTTGACATTGGTTAACGAGTTCCGTGACCCTTTTTTTCGCTTCTAATGAGACTCTTGTATTCAAAAGCTTCTAGAAAAAAGCTGAAAATCCAGTACAGCTGAATTTTTTCTTTTTGAACTTGCCAAGAAGCCAATGCTCATTGCAATTTGTCCTTTTTTGGAAAAATATCATTTTCCAGTGGGAGATACCGCTTTGAAATAAAAAAAAACCCTTTTTTCCACAAGAATTCTCTCTTCTTGGTAGTTTTCTCGGTAACTTTGAACCTCATGAAAAAAATTTTAAAATTGATTATTTTGAATTCCCTGTCTATTTTTTTGTCTATCTTTCTCACAATCAATACTTTTTAAATAATCCCTGCCTAACTTTTGAAAAAAAAAAATCCATTTTTGTTAACATCTAGTGCTTTTACGATTATTACCGTACCCCTGACTTCCAAAAATTAAAAGTTCTCAGTAGAACTAAAAGCTCTCCAAGCTTTATGCTCCTTTAATAAGCTTTCGAGAGCTTTCCCAACAAGCCTCATGCTCCTCTAATAAGATATCGTGGCCGCTTTCCTTAGAAACCAACCTTTAACACAATTTTTTCCGAATAAATCACCTCCAGCCTGTCTTCCCATCGAGACCATCTCGACAACTTGCAGCACGCTCCTTTAATAAGCTATCCTGAGCTTTTCCATTAAAAACTGATTTTTTCCCAGTTTTACTGGCCATATTCCTACTCCAGCCTGTCTTCCCATCGAGACCATCTTGACAACTTGCAGCACGCGCCTTTAATAAGCTCATAACGGTTGTTGCGCGAGTGAGAGCCACTATGAGTGCCTTTTTAATTGCCTCAAAACCCCCCAAACCAAAAACGCTCGTCAAATTTTATGATCCACTTATGAAGTCTTAAAACCATCCGTTTTCTTTGTTCTTCTTCCCGTTTATTGTGTTTCTTTTTGTAACTTCTTCTCAATTCGAAACAAGTGAATTTCTTGTTTTCGATTTGGCATGTTTCAATACGTTTCAGGATTGCTTCATTTCTTGTTCGTTTTGATTACTAGTCAGTGGAAACTGTCCAAATATCAAAATTATTTAAAGGTAAAGTTAATTTCAGGACTGTTCTCTGAAAAAAGGAGCAAAGTTAATTTTTATATTTTTGTTTTGTAATATTTCCATACAGCGGGAAGCCTCAAAAAATTGAAATTTTTTTAAAGATTCAAGCCTTTTTTTCAGGTTTTTTTCGATTTTTCAAAGCCAGAATTTTTTTCCATAAGCGTTAGAAGCCACAAAAAAATTAAGATTATTCAAAAACATTTAAAATTAAATTTTTTTCACCCATAATTTCCTTGCTTGATTTCAATGAAGATTTCTCCTTCCGGCTCAATTTTAATTCTTTCCAAGATATTCCATTCAATAATACGAGCCCATTCTAAGCCCTTGAAACTTATAAAAAACGAGTCCGAACTTTTTCATTTTCCGTCAAATTTCCATACTTTCATTAATTTTATCTTCATTTCCTTTAGAAAAAAATTGAGTAAACCTCTAAAAATATATTGCTTCAAATTTTTTTTATACATCTCCTAATTCTTCATAATTTCCTTACACCGTGATTCTCTTAGAAAAATTCAAAAAAATCCTAAAAAAATTATCAAGTTCCTCTTGTTAATCATCATACATCCTCTAAAACCCCAATTCTTCTCGAATTTTTAAAAATAACAACCACTATATCTTCATTTTCATCCCACAACTGAGCTATGTACTTTTCTCGATTTTATGAACTTTTCCCATTTTTCCAACTTTTTCCTGTTCAACTATCACTTCCCACTCATTATCACGCAATTCCCCTCGAATTTACAACCCAATTGGCACTAAAAATAAATAAGAAGCGAACCTTCAGCTGCAGCCAGCCAATCATCGCCGTCGGCCACGCCCCCCACGCTCCTCTGTGCCAGCAAACGCGCCGGCCGTCTACCGTAGGACGACGAGTTAGATGAACTCGACGACGACGACGGCGTCGCTCAACGGCGGCTTCGACTTCTCGACGGCGGCGACGTCGACGACGTCCGCCTCGAGTACAGCCACGCCGCCCCAGCCAGATCCCAATGATCATCTACAGGTTCTTGAGACAATTTTTTGATTTTTCACGCTATAGGCAAGCTAGTGAAGACATGCTGATTCCTAATTCAGTTGATTTACTTCTACAAAATCTCAAAAATTTATCCTTAAACATGGGAAAAAGCCTCAACCAGATCCCAATGATCATCTACAGGTTCTTGGACTTTTTTCAGTTTTCTCATCATAGGCAAGGTCCTGAAGATTTTCGTCCTAGTTCAGTTTATTTACTTCTGAAAAATGTGTAAAAATGAATCCTAAAACACGGAAGAAGCCTCAGCCAGACCCCAATGATCCTCTACAGGTTCTTGGACTTTTTTCAATTTTTTCATGTCAAGGTTCTGAAAGTTTTAGCACTGATTCAGTTGATTTACTTCAAAAAACCTAAAAACGTGTCACTAGAACATGAAAAAAGGCTCATCCACCTACAGGTTCATCTTTATGAATTTGAAGAATTTCATTTTATTTTATTTCTTCTTGGTCGTTCAAGAAGATAATTTTTGTTCCGGGTCCAATGACAACGATTCTTCTTTTTACCAGCTTTTTTTGATCCACTAAACTATTTTTAAAAAATTTTAAAAACTTTTTTTTCTGATACTCTTGTTTTACTGAATCGCGATTCGAGAAAAACTTAAAAAATCAGATTTTTTCTATTTTTTTTTCTGCAATCTTCTAAGCTTTACCCTCAAATTTATGTTGAAAAAACAGTTTTAAAAAAAATTACAGTTTCAGTGTTGATTTCCGTTGCTTAACTTTGTTTAGAATTTTTTTTAAATTGACAAAACTATTTCAAAAGAACCTTTTCTGGAAATTCAGCTTCTATTCCGATAAAAATTTGAAAAAAATGAGAAAGTAGTTCAACGAAAATTGCTTTTTATTCGGCACATTTTTGAAAAATTTCTTCGCGATTTTTTCACTTTCAGATCGATTAAAATTTCTTTTTAATTTTTTTTTTGTTTTTGCTATAAATGCTTGACAAGTTTTTGCTTTTGAAACTGAAAAAATTCCATCGTAACCTCAAATATTAGCATCTTATCACCAGATAGGGGAATTTTCAAACTACACGTAAAATATTTAAACCTCCGACAAAGGGAATGATACCTTGATGACACCCCAAAAAACCTGGCCAAATATTCTTCAAGCTCCAAACTCCAATCACCACTACTAAGAACAAAAGATCGGGGTCAAGGAAAATTCCGACAAAAAAGAAGAAGAATCAATAAAAAGGCGCGACGCGTGTCAGTGCGCGTTTCCTGGCGGCCCATCCGCCTCCAGACTCGTCGGAGCCGCGCAGTTAATGACCCCTCCATGATGATCCTGTTTCTCGGGAGAATCGAAAAAAAAAAACACAGCCACCTTCGTTTATCAATCAATATCGTGTTTCTCCAAATTTAGCTGTAAGATCCCGAAAAAGGATCTAGGAAGGGCTAATATTTCTTCAGAAAATAATATAAAACCCGTTTCAGAGGTTAGCGGCGATGACGCAGGGCGTCGGAAAAGAGGATCCAGAATCTTCAACGACGTCATCAGCTGAAGCGGCTCTTTACCCAGGTATTTGAAAAACTGAAGCTCACACCTTCCTTTTTGATATTGTTCCCTCTTTCTGCAATAATTGATCTTCCCAGAAACATTTTTTGGAGCATGAAGGTAAAAATTTCATAATACATCTAGAAAAAGTAGTGAAAATTTCGGCTACGTTCGGTTGATTTCAAAAAAAGGAGCTCTTCAAAACGAGCTCACTCCTGCAGGAATCGATAATCTTATTCATTAGTTTATTTTTTTCAAATTCCTCAGACTATTTGAAAAAGCCTGAGGCTGTTTTGAATCTACAAAAAAATTGTTTTAACATGATTCCTATTATTTTAATCTTTTGAATGAAGAAGGTTTTTTTAAGCTTCTGAGCTACTCAATTATTCATCTTTATATAGTTTTTTTAAATTTTTTTCGGAAAAAAAGTTTCTGATTTTCTTTGAACTTTTTTTCGAATTGCTAGCTTCTATAAAATGATTCTACAAACTGAATGATGCTTTATAAAAAATTTTCATTTGTTGGGCCTAAAAAACCTCAAAGCTTACAGACCATTTGAAATCGTCTTCAGATCTTCCAAAAACCTTTTTCCAAGCTTCAAACCTAATTTTTTTTTTCGAGACCCACTAAAAAAATATCTCAAGCTTCCACTACCTACCAAAAATCGACAGGAGCTTCTTTAAAATTTCTGGTCTCCTAAAAAAAAATTCAAGCTTCTCTAGACCTACAAAATGACCACGTGTCAACTTCCTGATGTTACTAACACTACGAAACGTTTTTCTGATATCAAATTCTTCTTCAGACCTTCCGAAAACCCCCTCTAAACCCCCACAAAACTCCCATAACCAATTATGGAGCAATAAAAAACGATCGCAACAGTTGCAGCGGCGTACATGCACGGCTACGCGGCCGGCTGGCCCAACTACTACCAAAATTTCGGACAACCGCTAGCCCCGACGCCGTTTCCGACATGGCCGCAGTGTTACGCCGGTCCCGCCTGGCCCAACTACGGTTAGTTCTTTTCATTTTTCAAAAAATCTAAAGTACTAATTTCCTTGTTTATCTCGAAATTCGATCCGCCTCCAAGGGGAACTAGCAGCAGGACGCGCGACGTTTAAATTGCCTCGTAAAAATGTCTCGTTCCGGAGATTTATCCCCTTTTGACGAGTACAACCTTAAAAAAGTTTATATATAGCTTAGCGGACTTCTGAATAGTATAGTCCGTTCAGAATTTTGTTAGAACCATTTTTTTAAAGCACACCCTGCTCCTTTAAATCCGAAGCGCCTTTCTGTAAGATCTTATGATCATTAATACTAGGCAGACTTTTTGAACCGGAAACTTATTCCTTATGAACCATTTTTTATAAGTTTTCAAGTCTCGATTTTATTTTCCCTTTCAAGGGAAGGCCCTTCTTCACTAATAGAAAAAAAAATGGCAAAATTAGCTTGTAAAAAAAATATCATTTCTCGCAATAGGTCTCGTTTTAGAGTTATGAAGCTTCAAAAAAGGGAGAGGGGAGGGGGGGTGGGTATATACAGTTCACTAGTGAGAAGCCTGTAATGGACAAACTACAGACCCTCCTGATAAAACCAGCCTTTCTCAAATATACTCTCCGTTTATTCATTCTCACTACTATTCTCAGTTCCACAAGTCCAGTTGGATATCGTCGTGTTGTGTGTGCGTTTTCTTTTCCCTTGGTTTGCCACACTGCGGCGTGGCAGCGGCAAGAAAAACACACACAATACCGATGATTGAACTTGTCTCATTGATAATATTCCCAAAAAAGTGTGTTCTTTTTGTTGCAGCCACGTCGAAGAAGGGCCGGCAGACCTACCAACGCTACCAGACGTCCGTCCTGGAGGCCAAGTTCCAACAAAGTTCCTACGTCTCGAAGAAGCAACGGGAGGAGCTTCGGCTGCAGACGCAACTGACGGACCGGCAGATCAAGATCTGGTTCCAGAACCGACGGATGAAGGCCAAGAAGGAGAAGCAGCGTGTCGAGGAACACTCGGACCATACTCCGCTCCTGCCAGCCAACCCGCCAAAGTCGATGGAGCACGTCATCGGCGGCGGCGGTGGTGGCGGCATGGCCGGCGCCGGTCTCATGAGTTCCCTTGAGGAGGAGAAGAAGTGGCAGATGGCCGCCGCGGCTGCGGCTCACTGGCCAGCCCCTCCTCACTACCAGTATCCCTTGTGTCCGCCTTAAGCTAGGGTACACTTCGGAAGGACTTTAGGTAGACGGTACTGATGCTCAAGAATCTAGAAAATTACATGTCTGGGGTTATGAAATTTGAAGTGTCTACTCAAGGTTTTTTTTCGTTATGCCAAATCCCAAAGAGCTCCAGTAACCACTTGAATATCGATTCTTCAAGTCTCATAAACCCTCAAATGACAACTCAAACATCTTTAGGGTAAAAGTCAACTGGAGTGACTAGCCATTTTTGTAGATCTAGTTTAGTGACCACTTTAGTACTTTCTTTTTGAATTCTCACCAAAGGAATAACTAATATTAGGTCAACTGAAAAATGCAAATTTTCTCCGTTTTTTTTTCGAAAGCCATAATTATGGTCCCCTAGAGAACCTTGAAAAAAATTTACCCACGAAAATTAAAATTAAGAAATTGCTCCGAAATTCTTCCCTGGAAAAGGTCGAGGTATTGGAATTTAATGAGAATCAGTATGTAGGTACTTTCGAAGATCCTGAATCCAAAGATATTGAAAAAAGTGCGCCTTTTTGGTTCTAGTCGAGTTAAGACGGGTTTTTTCAAAGAAGAAAAAAAAGGCAAAAAAAAATCTTCACCGATAGGATCCGAACCAGCGTCGTAGGTTCACCAGCGCTAGACCGTTAGCCACTACACCACGCCGCCTGAAGGCAGCTGAAGTGTGCCGCCGTAAGAGATTCCCTCCTTCCATCCAAAGCATTTTTACCTGCAAACTTTAAGCCGCCATATCTCGACTAGAAACAAAAACGTGCACTTTTTTTCGATTTCTTTGGATTCAGGATGTCCAAAAGTACCTACATACCAAGTCTCATTAAATTCCAAAACCTCGACCTTTTGCACGTATGAAAGTTTTTCCCACACTTTAATCAGTACCGCCTGTCTAAACGTTCCTTTCTCTCATTTTAATCCCTAAAAAGTCCCTTAGGCAACGCCTTCGTCCGCATTCGAACCCTACGGGTCTCAAGTCTCCAAATTTTCATCGTTAATATTCCAATCTATACTTCTCCATTCAATGAAAAAGCTCAAGAATCCAAATATCCCCCATTGATTCCTTCCAGTGCGTCACGGTTAATATTTTCAATTCAATTTTTTTCTGCATTTTCTCCAATTCAACTAGTCCTTAGCTTATTGCATTTATCGATTCATTGGGCAACGCCTTTCGCAAGCTCCGCCCATTTTTCTGTGCCGTATATTTCTGATTTGATTGTTATGATTATGCATTTCCATGAGTTTATGTTGTCATTTTCCGAGATGTCAAATAAATTCGTCCAATAATGAAGATAGTGTAACAAAAAAAAGTTATTAAATGGATGACGTGATAAAATGAAAAAGTGACGTCATTTTCACGCATTCATGACGTCACTATTTTGTTTTTAGTTGCTGAAATGTGTCGCCGACGTGGGCGACAAACCTACACACGACAGCAGACATTGGAGCTTGAAAAAGAGTTTCACTACAATAAATACTTGACCAGAAGGTTGGTTTTTTTTTTTATCAAAATCGTTTCTAGCCAAACTGGTTGTGCGCTTGGCTATCATCCAAAAGGTCATGAGATCGGTTCCCAAAGGGTCGAAAACATCTTTTTCCAAGATAAAACGTCAAGATTATCTTTATATAACATTTTAAGACCCTCATTTTTCAGTATATGAAAAGTTTCGACTCATAAACCAAACTGAAAAATTATTTTAGAGTGTCACTTTATTAAAAAACAATGACTGAAATTATATCAAATTTTACATTTCCTCCTCGGAACGTTTGATGGGGGAATTTTTCAGAAACCCACTTTTTTTCACCCAAATCGTTGAAAACTTAAAACCAGATTTAAAAAAATGTCCATTAGGACTTCTAAACCTCATAAACTTCAACAAATAAGGACATTTTGAAGTACTATGTTTCGCTATTTGAACAACTATTATGGAAAAAGCTTACTTTCTTTTTTTCTAAGTTTAAATATTCTAGTAACACTATACAGGCCGATTTTTAATCATCCTTTTTTAATTTCAAACCGAGCAAAAATTCCTATTCAGACGACGAATCGAGCTGAACCGCAGCCTTGGCCTCACCGAGCGGCAGATCAAAATTTGGTTCCAAAATCGGCGGATGAAGCAGAAAAAGGAGTCGAAAAGCGATTAAAAATTGTCCTTTTTTTTGCATTTTTAGAAATTCTCATTCTTGTTGCCAGTAGAAATGATCTCAAACTTCCCAATTTGATCTCAAATTCATTTGTAATTTATTATTGTTTTTTTCGGGGATGTCTATCTGATATTTAAAAAAACTTTTTCGTTTTTTTCAATAAACTTTTTTTCGTTTTTCATATCTTGTAAAAAAAGAAGGAGGACTACTTTGGGAGATTTTAAGGAAAATCAGAAAAATCATACGTACTGCAAATAAACTTTTATGGAAACTGGAAATTCTCACTAAAATCGTGTCAATGAGACCAGGGTCATTAGATGCAGTTTTTTACGCTTTTTACAAGTCTGATAAAGGTCAAAAAGGACCATCAGAAAAGTTAAAAACCACCAAAGCTAGCGAACTTTTCAATAAGGCTTGCAGATAGCGTTTCGAAAAGTCACATATTGACATAAGTATCTCGAAAAAAACAATATTAAGGCCATGAGTCCACGAAAAAAAAAATCTCTATCTATTATCAAGAGAAGAGGACATAGGGGATATCAATCTTTATTCAATTTTGAGCGCTAATAACATACCCCCTCTGTGAAAAATCTGGCCTTTCCCCTCTGTAAAAAAATTCCCCTCTCCCCCGTCTATAAAAATCACCCCATCTGTGAAAAAATCTTCCCCCTCAATAATTTCAGACTTTTGTTAGGTCAAAAAGAGGAAATAGAATACAACATAGTACTTTTCTTTCAAATTTTCCATTAACATCCATGAAACCTTACCTTCCATAAAAAAACGACCTTTTTCCGAAAAATCATTCCAAACTTCTTTTTCTTCATTCCCATGCAAACGGTACTGTAGTGGCTCTAAAAAAAAGCGTTTTATTCCTCGAATACACTTCATTATCACACAGTTTCTCGTTCCGTCGGTTTCCTTGAAAGGGTGCAGCTACCGTAATTGTCCAGGGCGGTGTCATCAAAGGAGACGCCCGACGCGTGCCCAATTGCTTTTCTCCGCCCGGTGTTCTTCCGTCCTTCTTCCTTTTCAAATCGTCTTGATTTGAAATTTGTTCGGCGTCGCTGCAACTTGTTTCTTTGTGTTCTCTTTTCAAGTTTGGCGCCAAATTTTCAAGATTTCACGGACCGAAAAGGGTTAAAACATGAGATTTTTGAGTCAGAGAAGGAATTTCTAGTGAAAAACAAGTACTACCGGTACAATCTGTTCAAAAATGACTTCTAGGGTTTTTGAGAGCCCAAAGGTTCTAAATAACACTGAAAATGGCTACCATGGTCTTCACCGTAACGGCTTCAAAGCTGTTACGCGTTGAGCCATTCCAAATGCGACCAAAAAGTTTCATGCCTATGTTGATGAACACAGATTTAAACTCTCAGAACTTTCAAAAACAGTTTTAAATCTTCAAAACGGCTTAAAAAAACTCAGGAAAAAATCTTAGGTTATAGCTCGAACCCCCCCCCAGACATCAAAGCCTACTCAGAAACTCGGAAAACCCTCAAATCCCAGGAAAAAAGTAATTACTCGAACCACCGTAGCCATCCGACATTCTCATTATGCAAAAAGCCAGAAGCTGGAGCCAAGGAAAATGGAAAAAGGACAGAGAATCGATTCCCACGAGCCACCGTAATCCGAAGCCGTGTATTTGCACCCACGAGGCTTATCGGCATCATCATCATCATTGTCGTTCTCGAGGGGAGAAGAAGAACTACCGTAGGACGTCCCTTGGCGAGAATTTTCGACCGAGCTGGGTTTGATTTTCTGAGGGATTTACGACGGATCGAAAGGAGATAAAAGCTTAGGAGTGACTTGGGGGGCTCGAAATAACTACACAGAAAAATAACTACGACATATTTGAGTGAAAACTTAAAAAGATTTTGTTGAGATGTGAATCAATTTTTATAAGATGCATCTACAGAAGTTGAATCATACACATAAAAAAAAACTTTGAGGCGGATTTGTTACGATGAAAAAAGATTAAAAGTAGAAACTAACTCGCCAAAAATCGTACTTTTATCTCTAGAAATGTAGCTTAACATTAAAACTGACTACAAATATATTGTTTGAGCTTTCAAGATGTTATTTGTCATGAGTTTAAAGAAAATCAAGGAAAAGCTTGGTTCCACAAAAGAAACCCGACCAGAGCCTTTTCCGAACTGTAGCTCGATTTAAAAGTCTCGCTAAGGTCACTTTAAATATACATATATATTTACAGGTACAGTAATACATTTATTTTCACCCATTCTCATCGATAATCTTAACTTCACATTAAAATCGATTCAGAGCAAATGCGCCTCCCCTCTTGGTCAGACTTTCGGAAAAATTCAAAAAACCTCAATAAAACAGAAAATAATTCAGTTAGCATTTTATTCAGCAAGAAAAAGCTCAGCTACCTCTCAAGTTCATAATTTCTTTTAAAATCGTACTAAAAGGGTCATAAACTTTAGGAGAACCTCAAAAGTTCAAAAATCCGTTCTGAGAATGGCTTCACTTAAAAATTGGACTGGAGGTTTTTCAAAACCTCGCCAATTGGTTAAAAATGCATCAATAACTATAACTTATTCATTCACAAAGTGACAAGAATAAATACGGTTAAGAACCGGCTTAAGGTCACAGTTGACACACAAGTGACTTCCCTGGATAGGGTATACATTAGATAATGACAGTTTTAAAAATCGCATGTTCCGAGTTTTTTTAACATAGCGTCAGACCAAAACCTGCCAAAAGGTTGAGAATTCCCTTCTACTCTCCTTATCGTCTTAACAGTACTCATCTTCCTTTCAGAACTCTATTCCCATCCTAGAAACGATTACAAACATCAAGCGGCTCCAAATCAATCTCCAGCCCATTCCAAGCGCCTCGAACCGTATCTCTTGTGCATCTGAAGCCCATTGGGAGCAGCTGCAGGATCACGTCGGCCTTTTGTTCCTTGTTCTCCTCCTGCTGCGCCAGGACGTCGTTCCGGCCGTCGTCGGAGGCCCCATCCCATTAAGCCGAAATGTGGCGCGCGCCAGGCCGCCTACACGTTCATCTGATAGCAGTTCTTCTCCTTTTTTTTCCTGTCTCTTCTCCTTTTTGTAGAGAGGAGGAAAACCTTGTCCGAACATGCGTGTTAAATGTCGTTTGAACGGTTTTTCGAGGGTTTCCGGTTTTGGATTTGGAATGAATTTGGGAAGGAGACGGTAGATCGTTGAACAACCAGTCTATCTCCACTTAAAATACTAACCCAACTTATAAGAGTCTCCTAAGTTGTCCTAGACTTTAAAAGCAACAGAAAAAAATACAGATACGTGTAATCATCTTATAAAGCATACTGATTCGCTAATTGTGTAACATTTAGTGCAAGTGATGAACGAAATATATCAGTTCAATTATCAGAAGGTTCGAAAATCTCTATACAAAGAAGTTCGAAAGAAGTTCACCTACCGTAATTCAAAAGAATAACCATCAGATTTCGTTATTGGAGACAAAAATCGTTCAGAAAAAGCAAAAGCGTTGTCTCCAAACTTTTTCCGAGCCTTCTTAAAGGAGCATAGAAAAATTAAAGGTCTCAAGACGAAGAGCCGTTCTCTATACTTCTGCGCCGTTAAATAGCCTTATTAGTTCATGTAGCCCCTCCAAAATATATAGCTTCCGTATTTGACAAAACTCTTTGCGAGAGAGAAAAAAAATTCGAGCTCAAAAATTTTTCTAGTGTTTTTCTGCCAGACTCCTGCACCTTTAAATATCCCTTGTTTGAAACATTTACCTATCAGAAACTTAAGTTGTCTTAGAGTTTTCTCTGAAGAAGCATAGAAAAACTAAAGGTCTCAAAACGAATATCATTTCTTAATACTTCTGCGCCTTTAAGCAACCTTATTACTTCCTGAAGCTCTTCCAAAAGATCTAGTCCAAGAGAACTTGACAAAATTCTTTGTGAGAGAGAAAAAACACAAAAACTTTTCTAGCGTTGTTCCGCCAGACTCCTGCGCCTTTAAACAGCCTTATTTTATACTGAAGCTCCTCTAAAAGACCCAGCTACCGTAGCCCACGGTATATTCGACAAAGTTCGTTGTGAGAGTCGAAAACGACTGAATCGGAAAATTCAAGCACAACTATAGTTCTAAAGTTATTCTGACTCCTGCGCCTTTACCTATCCCAGTTTTATACGGAAGCTTCTCCACAAGACCCAGCTACCGTAGCCCACGGTATCTTCGACAAAGTTCGTTGTGAGAGACGAAAAACGACTGAATCGGATAGTTTCAGGGAGTTGTTCTGCCAGACTCCTTTAACTATCCCAGTTTCCTACGGAAGCTCCTCCACAAGACTCAACTACAGTAAGAAAGAGTCTCGACATTTGTTCTGAGGAGAAAAAAGCAAAAGATGAATTGGTTGGACATTGTCGCGCTGTTCGGTGAGGGAGAGAGGAGTAGTAATTTTCAACGGTGAGAGTCTGGCTTTCGTTTTTTCTTTCCGGCGTTGGTCCGACTCGCTGGCGCCTGGCCGGGCCGGAGACGCTTAATGGCGTGTTTGGATGCCACGAGCTGGACAAGGTCGTTTCCGGGGGCGACGATACGCGTGTCCCGGCCACACAAAAAACACCCATATCTTGCCGTTTTTTTCCAGGTTCTATATAGACCTACTCCCTTTTGGGGATCGTTAAGTTCGCTTGAAGAATACATATTCTTTTCAAGCTCCAAAATCAAAAATTTGTGAATTAATATTTTGAATCGTGGTACAAGATCACTTGAGGAATGAGTACCTGGGAAATTTTTAGTGGCCACTTTAAGGTTTCGACGTTTTAGTGGCCACTTTAGGGTTTTGACGTTTTAGTGGCCACTATACTAGTTAAATTAGTGGCCACTTAAGGAGTTAAAAATTAGTGGCCATCATAGAGGTCTAAGTGATACGACTAGCTCACTAAGTGGCCACTTTAGGGGTCAATGGATCAACATGTCTGGTCCAATATGTTTGTTTCAAAATTATCAAAATTACTGGAAGGAATTCTGGATGCAAACTATTGAAGTGGCCACTAAAACTTTAAATAGTGGCCACTATAGAGGTGGGTTCAAAAAACAACCCATGTCGGCAATACTACCACTACGCGTAGATTTACGATGTAATTAATCCACCTAATTGTTGCTCATCTTAATCCCACCACCGGTTGGTTATTATGATATATTTCTAACGACTTCATTGTTCTTGGGCCTCTTAATTGAGGTGAAAAGAGGGTTAATGGCTTTTTTGGTTTGGCAGAGATAGACGGGATAACACGAAAGGCTTGAAAATGACATCATTCAAAGCTAGAAATGACGTCACAAAATTTTTAATTTCACGCCATAAGTTAAGGTGAGCTTAAAATTAAGTTCATTAATAATTTTGTCTTAGAAAATTACTTCGTGATAGGAAAAAATGACGTCATTATCTGGAACCTTCAAGCTTTCATCGGAAAAAAAAATAACTTTGGAAAAATTTCACACGAAGTTAATGACGTCATCAACTAGCTCACAGTGACGTCAAAATCTACAGTAACCAGCTTAACTCTCATACTCACTTCATTAATTCTCAGCCCATAAAAACACAGTCAAATGGAATCCACCGTACCCTCTCTCAACCTCATTTGCTTCCTGTTTCGGTGGGGCGCAAAAACTTCAATTAGCGCGGCGGTGGACCAAGTGATTTGGCCGCCTTCCTCGTCGTTGGCTCGTAATTAAAGTTTTCCAAGGGGGTTACGGTAGCTTTTTCGGGGCGAGAGAAATGGCAACAAGACTATGCATGTGATATGTGTGTGCATTTTTGCGACGGAATTCATCTTCGATCTCGGGCGAAGTCTTATGGGTACCGTAGTCGTTAAGATGTTATTCTCGAGGGAAGTTTTGCAAAGATCCGTAAACTACATTCATCTTCAACTTGGGAAAAGGGACTACAGAAGTCTTGAACAGCGAATTTATCCACAGAGAAGCGCAAAAATAGCTTTAAATCTATATGGAAATCTAGAAATTTTTGAAGTTTTTGCTACTAATACTGAAGAATATTGCCACCAATACTCCAGAAGCCATTATGAATTTGAACATAAATCGATTTTTGAAGCGACGTAGGTCTCAAACTTTTGAAAAAAAAATCGATAAAACGAACAATTCAAAAAAAAAATTAAATAATTGGAACTCTGAGCCTACAGTGAAATGTTCTCGATAAGCCGCCGAAAATGTCCAAAAAAGTCATGAAGTCATTGATTGAAAATGCTACAAAAAATTTGAGGAATGACGTCATAGTTTTTCAAAAATCCTAATGACCTTTTTTTTAACAGTCCTAATGATGTTATATTTTTTTCAAAATTTTTTATGACGTCATAATTTTTCAAGAGCCTTAATGATGTCACATTTTTTCAACAGGCTTAATAACGTCATAATTTTGCAAAAGTCTTAGTAACGTTATATTTTTTTCAAAAATCTTAATGACGTCATATTTTTTTCCAACAGTCTTAATGACGTCACATTTTTTCAAAAATTTTAATGACGTCATAATTTTCCAAAAGTCTCAGTAACGTCATAGTTTTTAACAGTCTTAATGACGTCAGAGTTTTCAAACTGTCTTAATGACGTCATAGTTTTTCAAAAATGTTAATGACGTCAACTTGAAAAACTCAGAAACCATGGTGCCATCCCTTTCAACTCAATGAAACGATTTCAAACGAGAAAAAAAAATTCAAAAAGATGACGTCATCAAATGGGTTCACGGTTCAACGGCGAACCAATATTTGTTCTACTTGGACAAAAAAGCGAGAAAAAAGAAAATATATGAAAGGTTGAGGGAAGGGACAGCTGGATGGAAACGTGGTGGTATAGTGGAATGAGCATTTTGGGTTGTGTAGGGAAGGGGACACATCGTCTACGTCGTCGTCGTCGTCGAAAATACCATTCGTTCACATTTATTGAATGGCTTTCGCCCCGACGTGTGCGTGTGTGTGTGTATGTATGTATATGTGCCCTCCTTCTGGCCTTCCAGTAATTTTGAGGAATTTCGGGTTCTGAGCTGGTGATGGAGTCAAAATTTCGAATACAGCATTCGGAATCTTTCAAAAGAAATTTTGAAAGGATCACTTCTTAGAGTTGAGAGCTCAGCGGAGGTGATCCAGGCCGAAAAAAATCTTCAAGACGAAATCTTGGAAAACTACTTTTTCAGCAGGAAAACTCCTCAAATAACCGAATTTGGCGGTTTTTTTCGTTGCGATAATTTACGGATTCTGATCCAGGCCCATTCATAATAAGAGTGAAACTTGAAAAAAAATAACTCTTTGAGCAATTATGAGTTCTCAGAGAGTGGTAAACATTTATATGAGAGTGGGTGCATTTAGTTAAACAAGCCCTCCTTCTATCATTTTTTAAATTTTCCAGTCGGTATTTTTTTGAGTAATTTCGGGTTTTGAGCTGGTCGCGGGGGGGGCTGAAGTTCTAATACAGCATCAGGGAATCTTCAGAGAGAAATCTTGGAATGGATCGCTTTTTTTAGAGTTGAAAGCTCAGCGGAGGGGGTCTAGAACGAAGGATCCTCAAGACAAAATCTTGGAAAGTCCACATATTCAGCCCGAAAACTTATCAAAAAACATTTTTCAACTGTTTTATGTTACGAGAAGTTACGGATTCTGATCCACGCTCATCTATTATAAGATTGAAGCTTGAAAAGAGCAATTTTGAGTTCTCAGAGAGCGATAAAAATTTGTGTGAGAGTGTGTGTATGTATGTAAACGTGCCCTCCTTCTGACCTTTCTTTTAATTTTCCAGTCGGTATTTTTGAGTAATTTAGGTTTTCGAGCTCGTAATGGAAGGGAAAATTACAATACAGCATCGGGAATTTTCAAAGAGAAATTTTGAAAAATGATTAGAGTTTTGAGATGGATACATCTGAAGCGATGGAGGAACAGAATTAGATTCAAAACAAATTCAGTCTCAAAATCGAATCTTGATGAAATGACTCTTTGAATAACTCTGAATTTTTAGAGATTGATCAAAATTTGTTTGAGTGGGTATATGTAAGTGCCCTTCTCTTTTCTTTTCATTCAATTTTCCAGGTGGTGATTTTGAGGAATTTTAAGCTTTGAAAAATCAACAGATTCAAATTTAGCAAGGAATTCTGTAGTAAGCGCTACAAACCTAAAAATTTCATTTCGAAATCTTTCTCACGAAAAATTTGTCCCGTGCTCTGAGGAAATCGAAAACTGCGATTCGAAATCAAAACCTAAAACTTCTGCCCGGTTCTGAACAACTTTTTACAGTCCTTTTTAACTTTTTAACAGACTTTGAAAAATGACTACTGAAGCCAAAAGCTTTTTTGAAGCAGTTCTTGGTTGTCACTGAGCTGTGGAGCTCAGAGTCTTTTTTTTTCTCCAGAACCGAACAATCCCTAGAAGGAATCTTCGAGATTCAAGATGGAAATCAACAGCTCGAAAACTATCAACAGTTTTCCGTCAGCAAGTTCAATCAGTCGGGGAAAACTATTGAGCCGAAGAATCTGACTGGGAAACGTTTTCTTTAAACTCAATAACTCGAAAAAAAAAATCTCGTAATAGATTTTTTTTTCTTTTTCCTGCAATCAGAAGGACCTTAAGTACACTTGACCGAAGTTTCATCAAATCAGTAGAGCAAGGAGTAGAAAAATCTGTAGAAAAATCTCAAAAAGTGAAGATTCTTATGTTCCAGAGCACACAACTCATAGATCTCATAAATCCGTAATCAGTTCGATTATGGAAAAAGGAAGAGACTCACAGAAAAAAATTTCGACTGATCCCTAGAGCCCTTCTTGCAGCTTGAAAATTTCTTGTCCGATGAAATCCAAAGGTTGATGCGTATTTCGATGTTTAAATCTTGGAATTCTTCTGAAAATCGTTGCATGAAGAAATATTCAACATTTGAAACTCAAATAAAAATTTAAAAAAATAACAAAATTTCAAGGATGAAATGTGAAAAAGGATGAATTCCAAACTATTTTCGAAATTTTCTTTTAACTTTGAAACTTTGAAATCTTTGCAATTGAAACTATGTTTCGAGTGAATCTCGAATCACAATTCTGAAAAAAAGGGATCGTTTGACGAGAGTTGTGATTTAAGCTTGAAAAATCAATTTTCTACTAAAAATTTCAGCCCGTCGTAAAATACGAATATGAACGTCAATTAAAATTAAAACATTAATTTTGAAACCATATATTCCAGATATCACAGTAACAAACAAAGGCAGCTTGGTCGAAAATTTTGAAACCCACATTTCTTCTCAAACTGAATCTGAAAAAAAGTCGCGGTAGAGTTAAAAATTGAACTCCAAGAAAAAGGAATTTCAAAAAATAACTTGCAAAAAAGGTTACTTCAAATTTTTTAAAATTTACGATTTAATCCTCTTGTGAAGCTTGCTGGAAATGGAAGCATGTCTGAAGAGAAACTAACTTCAAGATAGAATTATTGAACAAAAGTTGCAATTCGCAAAGAAAAAAGATCAGCTTCCTTGAAAATGAAACCTTTTTAAATTAAAATTTTTATTTGGATCAATCAATATCTTTAATTTCGCAACATCGTAATGGTATGGCAATGTTGCAGGAGATAAAAATACCACTGGATGGATGAACTAAACCAAACATGTATATATATAGAAAAGTTTTTAATTTTTTTGATGAGTAGGAAAAAGAGACATAGAACTACAATAAGTTATTTGCGGCACAAAATTCCACGTTGCTCACTGAAAAAAGTACTTAAAGTTTTTTGAGGGTGAAAAGGGATAAAATCGTTCAAAAGGTAAGAAAAACCCACCCAAATATTTTTGTGTCCACTAGAAAATGGAATTGTGAAAGAATCAATTTTTTCCACGTCTTTAGTTTTGAAAAAAACGCCATTTTTCAAAGAAAAAAGTTATTTTCGAATTTAATGAGTATGTGAGTTAGCGTCGTTCTGTGTATGCACCAAAGACGTCAAATATTACGAAAATTGTGAGAAGAGCGTCGTCAAAAGAACGCAGTGCATCAAAATCGGTGCCAGTGAAATTTCGTTCCGTTGAATTTAATCCTAAAACGTAAAAATAAGTATTCCTGTGAAAGTTCTGTAAGTTGAACGATACAAATCTGTGTTTCGATATCGGAGATCTTTTTTTCTTCTCACTTTAAAAAAATTTCTTATCATAGGCGAATTGAGAAAGGGTATCGCGAAACCCTCTGAGGTAAAAAAAGTTTAAACTACAAAAAAATACTTCAAATATCTTTTTTTCCGCTGCTATTCAAAAATATTTATTAGAGTAACTACGAAAAAAATTCACAGAAATATAATCATCACGATTCGATTAAAACATGAAAAAGTATTCTAAAAGTCTGCCAAATAATCTTGAGAATGACAGAGAGATCCCAATAAATAAAACAAAACAGGGGAAAAACAGAGGTATAAATAACACAGAAGTAAAAAAATCACAATAAAATTTGTAAAAATTCTTCTATAAGTACAGGGAAAAAAATATCACAATAGTCAATGGGTTTTTGAAAGAAACATTTGGAGAAACCGGGGTGTGGCCAGAGCTTGGCTCAGAGGGTCGTTGGATCGGATCCGGAGATGTTTTTTTAAAAAGTAAACACGATTGAAAGACAAAAGGTTAGGTAAGGATAGAGAAAACAATATAATGCGATAAATTAACAGCTCTTTCAGGTTCTAAAAAGCAAAAATTTAGGGTTTACGAAAACTGGTTCGATCCTTCAAAAGGCTTGAAGTCGTTGAAGGATTCTTCATTTATCTTCAAAAATTCAGAAAATGCAATTTTGGAATTTTAATAAACTTGGAAACAGTCTCATTTGAAGTATTGGCTAAAAAAACAATAAATATATTAAAGCTTTGGTTTAGGAAAATTACCAGTAACATGAAAAAGGATCATATTTCGAAAAGGTGTAACTGAAAATCTTGAAAAATTATAATTTTGAAATCAAATTCAAAGATTCGAAGCCCCAAAAAACTGTCTTTTTTTATATTTTCTTATTGAACTTGTGCTGTAAGAATAGAAATTTACGGGAAATAGAATAATGGAAAAATAAAAATCTTTTCAATGTTACTCTAATTGACGACAATAAATCAGTTTCTTGATTCCTGCTGATAAATTTCGATCAGGGGGAGGGGGAAGAGGGGGGTTCAAAAACGATTAAATTTTTCATCTCAATTCGTGGGCAAGGGTTTGCGAGCAATTTTGGGGAAACACATATTCAACATTTCCTTGAGCTGGGCGAGATCTTCTCCAGACATCATGTCTTCAAACGGGACCACCGCAGCTCCAGGATGCTCCTTTTTGAAATGAGGTCCGCACAAATCCTGCCGACTGAAGTATTTGTGGCACATCGTGCAGCGGAGCCTGGATGAAACAATTCAATTCTTGATATTGGCAGCTAAAAAATTTCTGACATTAAAAGAAGTTCTTGTCCGTTTCTCTATGAACCCATCAAGTCTTTCAAAAAATTCATATCATCAAACTTAAAATTTTCATGCGCTCTACCGCGAAACGACCAAAAAATTTCAAAAACGCGCACAAGTCAGTTAAGAGAGCACGGAAAACAGAGAGAGACCAGACTCGTACTCTCCACATTCTAAACACTGTCTAATTACCTGCACCCTGCTCTCTACCCATTCTACACACTGTCTAAGGACCTACGCGCTGGTCCCTCCAGATTCTGCACACTGTCTAAGGACCTTTGGCATGCCAATTTTTTTGGCAGATGCGTAGAACCTGAAGACTCTGGTCTCTCCAAGTTTATCGTGCTCTCTAAACTGATGCATGCGCGCTCGTTAATTTTTTGACTTGCGCGCTGTTTTTCCCAGTAAACTCTTGATGTTTGCAAAAATATACGGTCCCTTATTTCATCACAAAAAAAACCCCCACGTTTTGAAGCCAAGATGAGTGATGGCGTGCCGTCGTTTGTGCGTTGAAATAACGGAAACTTCCCGTTTACAAACCTGGAAAAATATCTTTCATACTTTCACGGATGTTTTCCAATTACATGGCACATTCCCCGCTTCTTCATGTTGAACTTGTTGAAGCTGGGATTGTCGGCAGGAGTTTTTGGCTTCGTGGATACGATCTCATCCTCGAAATCCTCCTCGCCATCGTCGCCAGAATCCATATGGTCATCGCCCTGGAGAAAAGAGTACAATCGATACTAAATAAACATTTTTATAGCATTTCTGAATACTCGGGCAAAGACGGAATGGTGGATAGTGGCCGTTCAAAGAGAGAGACTCCAAAAAGGCTGCAGAATGGCAGCAAAAAGGTCTCAGAAAAGCAGCAAAAAGAGTCCCTTTATCGAGCCTTCCATTTTTCTGGGATTTTAAAGGCTCAAGAAAAATAGGAGAAGCATCAAAAATGGTACATAAGAGCCGATGAAATGGCGCAAAAAAGGAACCTTTCTCACCCTAAAAGGAACATATATATGGAACCTTTTCCGATTTTGCATATGTAGTAACGGTTACATTTCTCACTGGGAATATTTGAAAAATGGACCTGATAGATTTAAAAAGTTTTTAAACTTTTAATTTTCCCAAAACTGGCCAATCTAGGAGAGTACTTGTTTTTTGAAGATCAAGAAAATACCGTAGAGAGTCCGGCAGTTTTGCGGCTGAAAAGACTGCGGATAATTTGTTCCTGGAGCTGTGCGTTCGGAGTTACTGGCGATGTTTCTTCAATTTTGACGGACGGAGTTACAGAAACACTGGCTTCGAGTTCATCGAAGTTTCTCGTCGAGTTGACTGTCTGAAAATATGAAATTTGAAAGGAAAAAAGTCGTTTAGAACTCGCATGGTAGCTAGGTGCCTCAACGAGTGTACCCGTAATCACAGGCGAATCGAGAAGGTACCATAATGTGTCCACAAAGGTACCTCTCAAAATGGATCGTGAAGACCCCATAATATGTCCATCTTGAGACCTCCGGCATACCTTTAGCTATATCTGAGCCATCTCGGAGGTACTTTAGAGCCTCTCTCAAGTCTCTTTTTGCTCAAAATCCTCAGAGGTATACTCGAGGTACCATCGTGAGAATTCGGAGGGTCTCGCGATACCCTTTTCTCGATTCGCCTATGTTAAACCGTTGTTTTTTAGGCTGTTTGGGTCTCAGTTAGGCTAAAACGGGGTAACAGGGAGTTTAAGAAAAACCAGGTGACCCAGCTGGGTTTATTTCGAAAATTGGTGACCCAACTGTGCTAAAGCGGTGCATCAGCTGGGATAAAAAACGCCGAAAGTTTAAGTTTTAATGACTGTGCCTATTCGGGTTGAACATGGAGACTTGGAAATTTTAGAATGGTCCCTATAGGGGTAAGAGGAAAAAACAGCCCTAAAATGACCTGAAAAGTTTTACCTATAGGTAAAATCAAGGTGTCCGCTGAGACCCGGGTTAACATGGCTGGACTAACCCCCATCAGTATGAGAGAAGGTTTGCTCATAATTTCACAATTTGAGAACTTTTTCTAAAACTCATTCTATAACTTTATTTATTCTTTTTACTTTCAATTAAACGATTAATATTACTCGATTGACTCATTTATAAAAAATCAACGGAAAACCTACCACGTCGTGAACCAAAAAACCCTGCGAAAGGTCCATTTCTTCAACGGGGACCTCGGTCTGTGTTGAAACTTCCCTCAGGTCGTGGTTTGCTGAACAATAGACTGATAAAAGCCGTTTATTCGCAAAATTTCTTTTTTCTGTTTCGTATTCAAGCTCTTCACGATCGATTTGTTGGAAAAATTTAAAAAAAACAGTTTGATAACTTTTTGCTCAATTATGCTATATTTTTTTCAAAAAAAGTTATCGACATTAACGTATCGAAAAAAATAAAAATAATTACTAGAAAAAAATTTGTGAAAAATCAATTTTTGAACTTGTTGCAAAAACCAAATTTCACACCTTGCAGAAAAATGAAAAAAACTTTTTTTATCAAAAGAATTTTTCCTTTTCCCTCAGAAAAATTCTCACAAGCGGTGCACATTTTTCCGAAGGTCGTCCGTCACAGAGAACGTCAACATTCGTGAGGCCTGAAAAATGTTTCGATTTTATATTTTTATGATGGAAGTTATGTTTTCCCTCTTTTTTTCATGAAGCTGCTTTCGCAAATTTTTTTCATTTTCACCACCATCCAGTTGGTTTATAAAAAAATTCAGTCAAAGTTCAAAACACTTATTATTTCTAGAAACACGAAAAATATACACTTTTTCTAAACTTTTTTTATACAAAATCGTCAATTTATGAAAAAAATTGTCAAAGAATATTGTAAAGGCTAGTTATGTTCGTGAATAGGCTGGAGAATGATTAAAATGACAGAAAAATATGTACCAATATGGTCATAAGATCCACAAGCGGCTGACCCGCCTGTATATTGACCACCACGTACATTTAGCGGCTGACCTGGGAAAATATTATTCGTTTAATAATTAAAAGGAAGTTATCCTTTAAAATAGAAAACGCAAACATTTAATTTGAACAAGATTTTAAAAAGGGAGGAAGGGGAAACTGGGAATGAAGTAGATTTTCGAAATCGAAAAACTACCAAGTCAGAAATAATACACATTTAAAGTGAAACGGAACTTTTAAAGTGTTATTTCTGTATCCATAACTGTTCAAAAATCATGGAACGAACAACTTAAACCCGAAAACTAAACTAAAAACTTTCAAAATGGCTCAAAATACGAATCAGACGCGTTTTCATAAAATTACCCAGAAAACCTTTTGATGTAAGCGCACTTACAGGGGAATTATAAAATAAAGAAAAGAAACTTCAGAAGTGAAAACTCAAAAAGTTGAAACAAAAGGAAACGAAGAAAAAGTTATGTTGGTAGAAATCCGAAAGTTTTTCCAAAAAAATTATCTTTACAAAAATTCATAGTGGGAGGTAAAACGAATATCAGAACAGAGAAAAGAAAAAAAAAATCAAACAGAAAAAAAAAGTTGATTTTAGACTTTCAATCCAAAAATAGAGATTTTTCAAAAAAGATAGTACAGACTTTACGATCGGATGAAAAGGTACTAAAAATGGGTCTGGATCCCTGAAAATCATCGTTTCTGCCCCGGCCGGAATTTACCCCAAATGTTACCAAAAATGGGCAAAATTGCAAAAAATCGTTGATCTTGTGAGATTCAAGGCAAAATCTGTAATAAAATTCAAGATCCTGAGCTCCATTTCAAGTTACAAATGCGATTTTTTTAACGAATACGGTGCAGAAAAATGGAAACAAAGCATGAAAAACCGTTGCGAGGTAACCTTTTTTTTGCAAAAAAATATCTGAAAAAAATTTTTTTAAAAACCTCCAACATTTTTCATCTCCAAATTCACATTTTAAAAATACGCAAACGAAATTTAAAGTAAATAAATCTCCTTTTCAACTTGCTCAATTGCATTTCAAGAAACCTCTACAACCCACGGTGTTTTTTTCATTACGCAAGGTCAAGACTTTTCGTAAATTATGATGCTTAGGGTGTAAGCACACCGAGACGCACTATCGCATACTCAAAATGTTTTTTTCAATTTTTAGAATTTGCGATTTCAGGATAATAGCTCCTGAAATATTCGAAATTTGTCAGTTTGAAGAATATGATGTGAAAAAAACATTCACTTACATTAAAAAAACATTTAGGATTATTTTCGAAAGGGGAAAAACTCTAAATTACTGATTACAAAATAAAAAAACAAAAAAATATTATGTAAAATGAATCAGCTCCCATTGAATAAGCATTTATAAATACTAAAAAAATATTGAAATGAGGGAAATTCGAGGAGCAAATGAAAAACATTTTATATACCTCGAAAAACCTAGCTTCAGAAAAAAACAAGTAATGGATAGAAAGCAGAAATTTTAGAAAAAAAACCTCGTATGGCGAAATTTTTGTTTAAATCCGAAAAACCATCAAAAAACTAGAAAAAAATATATAATTTAGATGATGCATATATCAAAATCATTAAACTGCATCAGCAAATTCAATTTGGCTCTAATTTACACGAAACCGGTTTCAAACTACGTCAAAGGAACTAGATAATAACTTTTTTTATTATTAACTGATTAATTTAAAAAAACTATAGTTTCCGAAATAGAGTTACTCTTTTTCATGTCGCGAAACAGATTTCAAAAATTTTTGAAAAAAATTAGGACTTTCAGAAAAAAATCTTCAACTCTTTTTGAGAAAAAAAGTTAAAGATCTGAAACTGGTTAAGAAAAGTGCGCAATTTAAAGCTCCACAAGATGTACCCATAGAGAGGCGGATCACATAAATGCAAGAAATAGAAAAAAGTAAAAAACCAATGAAAAAAAGTGAAGAAATTCAATTTTTGCATCTGAAACCATGAGAAGGGCGCAATAATGCGCCACGGATAATATGCCGCTGGGACCCAAAATTTCGCATTTTTTTTCATTGCGCGGAACACCGTGAACCAAGAAAAATCTAGAGAAAAGGTACAATGGGAAGGGGAGAGAATACACGAAGAGGAGGAAGGGAATGGGGCCGGTAGGTATAGAAGAAAGAAAAATGGAATAGAATGGAAACGGAATGAAATGGAATGGAATTGTGCTGCTGCAGAGAGAAGAGTTCCAAAAATGGGCGCAGCAGTGCGGGAAAATGGAGGGTGCGCATGTGAGTGTATGTGTGTGAGTTGGAGTGTTTTTCCAAAATCGCTCACAAGGCTATTTCGCTTTGGGGTGCCCTCCTTTTGCCGAAAGGAATAATATTAGTTGGTTTGAGGGCGAAGTTTCATGGTTTTGGACTTCAAAAAAGTGGTGAATTGGCGCCAATGAGTGCGATTTAGCGTCGTTCTGTGTATGCACTCAAGACGTCAAATATTACGGAAACAGTGGGATTTTTTCCCGCACCAAGAATAACTGCCGAGATAAACGCGAGACACTGGCGGTGCATTGACGAGCTCGCAAACATCTCGCATTTTTTCTCGCGCCGGTCTCGCGTTTTTCTGGGCGCGAGCTCGCACTTTTCTAGGCGCGAGCTCGCATTTCTCTCGCAATTTGAAAATTTCCGAAATGCAAGATGAATGCGAGATGGCGCCGAGAAAAATGCGAGGTCGCGCCGAGAGAAATGCGGGATCGCGCCTAGAAAAAAGCGACATTTTTGCGAGTTATTCAATGTACCGCCACCGAGCTCGCGTTTATCTCGTCAGTTATTCTTAGTGTTGGCGCCAATGTATGCGATTTAGCGTCGTTATGTGTATGCACTCAAGACGTCATATATTACGGAAATTGTGGGAGTGGCGTCGTCGAAAGAACGCCATGTGGCAAAAAGCAAATTTCTCTGAAAATTCCTTAATCCTACCATAAACTACCAGAAAATCGATCGAATCGCTCGAGAAATAACTTAGGCAAACAAAGAAGGTTCCTATTACACGAACAGACACGGCATGGTTCGCGATACCATCAGGTACACTGGCACCACGATCGATGGGTACACTGGTATATTTGGTGAAACTTGATACGGTTAGGCTGTAAATCGAGAGCGATAGAGCCCAGAAAATATACACTTTCTACTAACTTTTTCCAGACTTTTATAGGGGCCTCATGGAAGTCTTTTCTAAGAACTATAAAATTTTAATGAGCCGTCAAAGAAAAAGACAAAGTCCAGATAACTCTTCTTATGACTTCACCATGGGAACCTATCATTAGAGACACGGATAGAAGAGAATATATGGCTTTAAACGACAAAAGTCGAGCTCATTAATCCCAGATTTTAAGGCTCGTTGTAAAGCTGGTCATTAGTGAATGGATCATGAGCCTTCAAAATCCAAGAGATCAAAAATATATTAATAGAAAATAGTATAGTTACTCTAAATATTCTATCAGCTGATTGCAGTTTAGTCCGAAACTTGATTTTCTGAAGCTATGAGCCAGAAAGAGGCCTTAAAAAAACTATAATAAAAACTATGTATCTAACGGATAATTTTAAGTGTCCTGAAAGTAACGAAAGCCTCCTCTAAAAATTCGGCAAGAAAAACAAAGCTTTTTAGATTTTTTCCTTTGATTCGACTCCAAATTTTTGTTTCCAACCATTTTCAATGCTTTTTCCTGACAATACAGTTCATTTTCAAGCTTTGAAGTTTTTTGCTTTATTTTAAAAAATACTCGGAATCATTGTTCAGCTTCAAATTGGTACCTAAACCATTTGAATGGAACCTTTTTTAAGGTTCCTTGATCCAAAAATGATTATCGTTATGATCGTAGTATTTTGATGAGACCTTTGGAGAGATTCTTTTCCGAGGTACTTTCCATTTTTCAAGGATTTTTTAAAAATTCAGGAAGCTACCGTGAACGAACAGAAACTAAAAAAGAAGAACCATGGCGACAGCCTCCGCCCACATGAACAGCTATACTCAATTTTATGGGAAGTTATTGTTCTTTGGGTCATTAAACTCCTAGAAAACCTTTTGGAAATCCAGAAAGCTACCATAAATGATCTTCAGAACAGTAACCAAAGCAAAAACAATGATGACCCATGGCGATAGTCTCCGCCCACATGAACAGCTATACTCAATTTGATGGGAAGTTATTGTTTTTTGGGTTATTTTTCACTCCTTGAGAACCTTTTGAAAATTCAGAAAGCTACCATGAACGAACAGGAACTAAAAAAAAAGAAGCATGGAGGCAGCCTCCACCCACATGAAGAGCTATACTAAATTTGTTCATGCCATCGAGAGAATCTTTTGAAAACCCAGAAAGCTACCATAAATGAACTACGATTCAGAACCGGAACTAAAACAAAATAGAAGAACCATGGCGACAGCCTCCGCCCACAAATGCGGCAAAGGAACGGGGAAAGAGAGAGGAAGAGACGGGGTGGTTTGGTTTGGTTGCTGTCCTCCTCCTCGTTCCACTCCCAAATCGCCGTGTGTTTCCCCTCGGCCGCCACGCGAAATACAACCATCGTTCCCACTCTCGTCGACACTCACGCTCACGCGCTCATCAACCTCACGAGGGCCTCGCCGGGCGACGCGCCGACAAAATGAGTGGGTCTCGAGGCACCCGTCGCCACCACAATATAGCGGAGAAGAGCGACCTCCTCGGTATGCAATATTGAGTGGTTCTGCATTCCGGAGCGTTTATCTCGGGTCTCGAAGGGAAGATGCTCGCACGGCGTTTTGTTAGTGGAAGAAAATGCAAAACCAAAAATCAAAATAGGGTGATCAAAACCTCCGTCGTTCCCATTTGACGCCATGGGAAAAACGCGTGAACAACAGGAAATATTAAAGACACATAAATGGGTCATGAGACGAATAGATCTATTTCTCCTATAAAAAAACGAGATTTTTCTGTTTCATTTTTTAAAAATACATGCCGAAATTCACAAAAGCCACCAGAGAGTGAAAAATATAACTTTTCAGAAATTGAGATAAAATTTATAATTCCGCGAAAAATATTTTGAGTTTGGCATATGCGGGGGTGCATGCACATGACACGCTACACTTTACGGAAAAAATATGGGCTGGGCGTCGCAAAAAAAAACGCCGTGGTTCATGAAAAGAATGAAAAAGAACTATCAGGAGAACCTTCGAAACTAGAACTTTACCCAAATATTCGAAGTTTTTAATCAAATTGGAGCCTTTTTCTTTAAATCAGCTTCTAAAGTACTATCCGAAATGTTGTCCGAAGAAACCAAAATATTGCAAGAAAAAAGGTATGTAATACTGAGTAGCTCCGCACTTCCCCACCGGCGGCCCATCGCAACGGCGGAAAATAAAATTTGTACGCATTGCACGCGATGCATGAAAATCGACGCGCAAAAAGCGAGATCGAACGTTTATTATTAACCAAAATAATTTTTTGGCTTTTATTAATCCAGGGATCGCCGAAAAAAAATTCCACAATATTATTATTCTGAAAAAATCATGAAGAGGTATCTGAATGAAAATATATTTTATATATGCATTTTTTTTTAATTATTTCTTTTTTGCTCTGAAGTTTCTTCCAGGCCTTCAATAAGACATTAGCCCGGCCTCAGCCCTACGCTACACGAACTATGACCATCTTTATCATCAGAGCAATATTTCCTTATCATTCTTTGACCAAGTTCTCACCGACCTTAGGTGAAGAATTTCACCAAAGAGCTGTTTAATGCCGAAACCTCTGCTCTACAAATGAAGTGGTACTTTCTGACTTCATCAGGCGAACTCATTACTGGAACTATGGTCTTCTTCATCATTAGCGCGTCTTTTATTATCAATTTTTCTGATAAATCAACGAAACGGCTCATTAAGAAGTCGCAAAAGTCCGATTCATAAGGCTCGACGCTTCGCTACAAAGATTATTATTGGAAAACAGTGTCCTTATCAATTTTCGATCGAAATTTGAAAAGAATTCGAAAAAAAATGTTGAAAACCTGAGAAGGTTCATTTTTGCGATGAAGTTCGCTCCATGGATAAAACGGGAATTTTTCATTTTCACTAAAACAGCCCCTTCCCCTTATCAATCCTTCACACCGAAAAAGGTTCCTCAAAAGTTCGACATTTTCGTTTCATTAAGGTTACTCTGCTACAAAGATTATGACCCTCATTATCGATAGAGCTCATTTTCCTTATCTCCCTTCATATGACCAGGAAAAAAGGCGCGGCTGCAACAACAAAGGCTTATCGCGACAAAATCAAAGGATGCAACACTCGATTCCTCACAAATGGCCCGAAAATTAATCAGTTAGCGGAACTTTCCAATGCAGCTGATTCACCTGGTTCCCGTGGTCCTTGGCATCGTCAAAGCCTCGATTTCTGGTTATTATTTTAAGTTTTATGGGTAGTGAAAATGGAGATCTATAGTCGATTCACGGCTAACTTGGGAGGCTGAGGGGGCGTGACCTGTCCGGCCTCTCCACCAACCAGGCACTATCTTTTTTATTATCGTGTCAGGACCTTTTTTCGATGGCTTAAGCCAGCCGTGAATCAGCTGTAGTAGGGTTTTTTGATTTTATCCTAACGTTTTGCTCCAAATCACAAAAAATATGAATTTATAATCTTTTTTCACAACAATTTTTCTGTTTTCCCTAGCCTTTATAGCTATCAGTTTCGGAAAAAGAGCATAAAATTGGCCTCCAAAGATTGTCATGGTGATTGATGACTTTTTGAAATTCTTATCAAAAATTGATTGTTTTGCATCATTCCACTTTTTTTGTCGGTGCATTGATGGTTTTTCGAGAAAAAAATAATCGTTTTTTTCACTATCTCAATTTGAATAAATTAAAAAAATCAAATCAGTGCAAAAAAATTCGTGATCAATTTTTTTCATTATTCAGTCAGAACTCCCTGCTTTCAAAACGGTGGAATTTATTTATATAAAAAACAGGAAAAAATACTAACGGCAACTTAAAAAAACTGGTATAGTCGATGTGCCACAAGTTGAAATTTCATGGAACGACACTCCGCCGTTTCGATTTGTGCGGTAGCGCGCATCTTGCGAATTTGCCAACCTCGGCCACGCTAATTTTTTTTTGATTTAATTCTAATTTTATAATTGAATATATTGAACAAAACCAAAGACCATCTCATGAAAAACTTTCAAATATTATAAACGCATTTTCTCTTAAAATTCGAAAATTACGCTATTTTATTTTTATCAATGAAACAGTCTATCCACTAGAAAAGATAATTATGAGTTTGGCACGAAGAAAACTAATAAAACATAATTGAAATAATGGAAACTTCAAATAAAAGAAAAAAATGGAAAGCGCGACCGAAACTCGCAAAGGCAAGGCGCTTTCACGGCCACGGCCACCCAACGGAGTGTCGTTCCATGAAATTTCAAGTCGTGGCACATCGACTATAATAAAGCTAAACTTCCAGATCCAAATGGATCTTCCACTGTCCCTCAAACCGCTCCTTCAATTGCCAACACTACGACGTTCAAAATGACGACCAAAACCAGCCCGACTACTAAAATCACCGTAGCTCCTCCGATAAATGACAGTTATCCGTGTGGGACCAATTATACCACGGCTTGGGTCGATGTGATGGTTCTATTCGATAGAAGCTCGGCGGCCACTCAGCAAGGATTGGATGAGGTTAGCAAAAGCGATTTCCCAGTCTCCATGAGTAGAGTCATTTCATACAGTTTACGCCAAAAAAAAGTTAGAAAACTCAAGAAAAAATTATTCCCAAAAATAGGCGACAAAAGTTGAACCGAACGAATAAATAATTAAATTCAGGGTCCTACTAAAACACTATGTGATTTTGAAGTAATAAGAGTGTCTTTTCTCGAAACCTACAGTTTTGTAAAATTAACGTGTAGTTCAAGATTTTACCCTTGAGAAAAAATAAAAGAAATTCAAAAAGGGTCAAGAATCAAAAAATAATGTGCCTAAAGTGGTCCACATGAAATTCCTTTATCAACATCTGTGTGCCGCTATCAGTGATGAAAAAAAAGGAGCGCCATGAAGCAGGAAATTATTTTCATTTGAAAAAAGAGCTCGGAGCGTATGTTTCAAATAGACCCGGAACACTTTTTTAGTTAGTTAAAAACGGACAAAGAAAAAAACTATAGTCCGTTTGCCGGGACAGTTTTTGCGGGTCTACGTCTCTCTGTTCTCTCACCGGCGAGGTTAGAGAAACGCGAAAACAGCGCGTCAACAAGAGAGGGTCGTCGAGAGACGAGGAGGGCGCAGAGAAGTCCCACCCTTTCGAGTCGCGAAAAACGGACTATACGATAATTTTAAGATGATGTACAGCTGGATAAGCGATATGGAATGGTTCACGTTGGGCAAAAATGGGACGACCGACCCGAAAATGCACACTCGCGTCGGAATCATCCTCTACGATTCGGAACCGCTTCTCTATGCCCCACTGGGATCTTTGGACAACGACGATCTCTACAATATCGACTTTATGGATTACTATCGCGGCATCACTTACACTAATATTGAAGCGTTAGTTTACCGAGTGATCATCTTTTTGTCAGTTTAGATATCCTACAGGTCAATCGGGACAACGATACGAGTAGGTGCCGGGTAGCAACTCGCAGGCTGAACAGGGTAACCCAGCCGTGCTAACACGGGGTCTCAGCGGGTGCCCTCGTATTAAACCCGTATAAGCCCAGCTGATAGAACTTTTGGCAATTTATAGCCCAACTGAGACCCCGCTTTAGCATAGCTAAGTCACATATTTTTCTTACACCCGTTGTTCCCCCGTTTTAGTCAAACTGAGACTGAATTAAACTCAGAAACGCGGTTTAATACGGGTACACCCGTTGAGACACCTGCTCAGAATGCGAGAACTTGGAGGTCAATCAGTGTATGCTAATCGGTGGCCATTTATATGCAACCGGGTAATATCTCTATGGTACCTGGAAAGTACCAGGGAGGTATCTGCATGCTACCGGAAGTGTACCTGAAATTTGCAATTGCTCTCGGCTGGCTAACCGGTGGTTCATTGAGCCAAATCTTCCAAGATTTCATTGGCTAACACTGGAAAACCGCTAACAGGCTTCCCGGTAGCAATCGCAAATGTCAGGTACCTATCAGGTATAATGTCAGGTACGGTAGAGATGGTACCCGGTCGCTAATAAACGACTACCGATTAGGAAACCCTTTCGCAGTTGCTTCCCGGTAGCTATTTGTATCGACCTCCCGAGTCAACTTTGCCTTACACGGGTGTTTAAAGAAGCATTTACGAAATTCATCAAGGTCTCGATGGGAAGAGCTTTTCCAATGTTGATCCGTGCAAGACCTTTAAAAACTTTCTAAATTTTTTTATCTGGTTTTAAACTCTTTCTGGAAGCCAGGATCCCACCTAAAATCGGTTCTTAAAGCCTCATGGCTTTTAGTTGGAGTCAAGCGCCTCAAAATATGTTACTTTCTGTGAAAGAAGCTTCTAGGCCTTATTGAGACTCTAGAGTAGGTCTCAGCCAAATATCAGTAATTTCTGAAAACCTATATGCCTATAATATGCATTCAGAGCCCTAGCCATGGCGATATCTCAATTCAACACGAACAGTCATCGAAAAAACGTCCAGAAAGTCATCCAAATCTACGGCTGCACTTATAGGTATCCCTAGAAGACCTCTTATCAAAACTTTTGTCTATTTTAGACCAAATGGTGCTGACGACCCGCAAAGAACCGCCAAACAGTTCAAAACCGACGGCGGTGTTATTATCGTCTACGGTACTTTTTTTGAATCGGGACTTTTTTCTTGAAAAGCAGCTGCTCCTTTAAAATAAACTCCTCCCTCCTCCCATTGCCTTGCCAAAATTGGCTCATGGATGGTTAACTTTTGAATCGTGTCAAGACCTTTTTCTTGAAAAGCAGCTGCTCCTTTAAACTCAACTCCTCAACTAAGAGTCGCAGTGTCCCAAAAAAAAACGGCTTTGAGCGAAAGTCAGTGTGAGTCGGGTGCACTCATAAGATACCTACCAAAATTGAAACTAATTTTTGAAAGGTAAAAAACGCAACGCAACCGCGACGCATTGAGCCATTCCCTGCGTTTTCAGGATTCTCATCTCTTGATGATCTCATGGAAAAAAAATTGCTTTTTTTTTTATTAAAAAAAATCTTTTTGAAAGCTTCATCTATGATCCAAAGAGGATGACCTATGAAAAATTCATAAAAATCAAAAAGTTTTAAAGATTACATCCAGCAACACGGATCACCGGCCGACAATCTGCTTAGCCTCGCCAATCCTGGCTACAGCTCAACATCGGATCAAATGGACAACGATTTTAATAAAAATGCCTTGTGTCGAGGTGGGAAACATTTTGAAAAAAGCCTGAAAAGTAAGGAATTTTCTTAAAATCGGAGAAATAAGATTCCTTGTAGTACCAGTTGAAGGTCCTGGAAGTCTCACATTTCATAAAATCATTCTATTTTTTTGGAAAATACCCCTTAAAGTCGAAGAAAATCAGGAAAATCCTTGAGATTTACTGAAAAATCGATATATTTGAGTTGAGACTTTCAGGACCCTTTCAAGGGCATTACAGAGTTTTCTATAAAGAAAAATCCAAAGCTTATTTTTTTTTTTAGCAAACTGCAGATGTCCTCAATACTATCAATCTTTCATCAGCGGCGCAGACGATACTCCAAAAAGCGGTGAGGAATTTTTTAAAAAGCCCTACTTGAAGCGTCGCGGTTGCGATGCGGTTTTCCTCCTTTTCAAGTCAAACCGCTGCGCGACCGCAACGCGTTGAGTCATTCCAAATGAGACTATTATGATTTCTTACATCATAATAGACCAGTATCAAAACTCGTTCTAGAAGAGAAATAGAGAAAAATGTCTAAAATGGATATTACTAAAATTTTAGTAATGAAAAAGCTATCAAATCATACAAAGCTCAATGCTGAAAAAATTTTTTGAAAATTTGTCTGCGGTCCCTCAGTTAGGCCTAACCGTTAGGGGAACAAACGATCCTTACAAGGACCGAAAAAGTGGTCCTTATAAGGGTGAAAGGAAGGTGGTTCTTCTAGGGGTTAAAGGTCTGACCCCTTAGTCCCTAAAGATCAAGGGGACCTTATAGGGATCTCTCAACTTCATTCAAAAACGCTTATTCGTTCAGTTTTTCGCATGGAAATGCTTCTTCCTCTATAGGACCAGTTCCAAATGGTTTTTACCCCACCTGAAAGTATTGCAGGTTGCTACCTTCCCGTAGAAACGGGCACTGATTTCCAACACGCCAACAATCAATGCGTATCCGTCAACAATGGACATCTTGCGATCGACGATAGCAGCCAAAAACTTGGCTTCCTTATAAGTCGTGAGTAAAAATCCGTTGAAGTTCAAAGTAGGGTTCAGTTTGGATTACAGAGGAAGGTCAAAACTGGAAGTTTTGATTCTATTGTCTATTGAGCATGCTTCTGGGAAAATTTCAAGTGGCCTCTTAAGGGTTTTGATGTTTTAGTAGCTTCTATAGTAGTCGAATAAGCACCCACTTAAGTGACTAAAATTCAGTGACCTCTTTAGGAATCTAGAGTGAAATTTAATGACCTTCTTAGGAATCTAAATGGTACGACTAGATCCCTAAAAGCCGCTGTAGTGACCACTCAGAAGCAATGTAGTGACCTCTATAGAGTTAGTATTAGTGGCCACTTTAGTGAGTCACCTCTTAAAGGGCCACTAGAGTTCTTTCCAGTTATCATGATGCAAGAGCAATTTTCCAAATTTTTCTTTTGCCTTCTGGTCCAGATGAGGCTGCAATCCACTTTTTTTTGGTGTTCGAAATTGTATCGTTTTCGGTTTTTTTTTTCCAAAGGGATTTAAAAAAGGGGATCGGATAAGCAAAACGAAAGACGAAATCAATAGATCCTACAGTAATTCACGTTTTCGAAACAAGGAAATAAGCATTTCTTCGATTCTCAGAGTTCCCTTCGGCTCGATCATTCTGGTTGGGCCTTCACTATGACGTCACACTTCGGATTTGGCTGACCGTCAATGGAGAGCAGGTAGATTAGAGAAAATTGCAGAAGCGAGGATCGAGCGCTGGAGACTCCAGAGAAGCAGGAAACCCTTTTTTCTCTGGACTCTCTTCAAGCCGCTGTTGATCTCTCGCGTTTTCTTCTTCCAATTTTCTTGTCCTCAAGTTATCAGCTGAAGAAGCAAAGTGAGAAATTGACAGAAGCTGAAGAAACGTTTTCTGTGATTCTATGGTATCTCTTCATTCCTTCTGCTATTCTCGTTCGTGATCTTCAAATTCTCAGCTTCCAAAAGTTAGAGATAACGAAGGACAGAAGAGACTCCAGAGAATCAGAAGCACGCTAATTCCCTGGAGTCTCTTCAAGTCGTTGTTGATCTCTCGCGTTTTCTTCATCCAATTTTCTGGTTCTCAAGATATCAGCTAGATTAGCAAAAGTGAAAGATTGACAAAAGCGGAAGAGACGCCAGAGATATAAAGTTTCTCGTGCTCCTCTGGTATCTCTTCATTCCTTCTGCTATTCTCGCTCTTGGTGCTTGATGCGCTCTCAACTAGCAAAAGCTAGAGATAGCAAAAGACAGAAGAGACTCTAAAGAATCAGAGACACTCTAACTTGCTGGCGTTTCTTCAGCGCCCTGTTGATCTCGCCTCCTCCCGATTTTCTCCCGCTTTCCGATCCTAACTCCCAATATTCAGTGGACCAACTCTTCGTTCTCGAAATGGGGTCCAGACCAACCGAAAGTCAGTACAATCAACCGATGCGCCTACATTCCAGCCGTTTCGAATCCAGCGAATGCTCACTGGGCCGTCACCGATTGCCGAAATTCCCTTTGGTCAATCTGTGAATCGCCACCATGTGATACAGATCACTATTGTGATTGATAATGAAGATAATTTTGTTGATAACGCAAAATATAAAACAATTTTGAAGCAAATAATCGCAAAGAATTGATTCAAGTAATTGCTTCTTTGTTTTTACATATCTGAAGACGTACTCAGAAACTCAAGAGTGGTCCCTATAGGGGCAACCTTAGGAGCTCTTGGAGGGTCCCTTCTAGGGACCGCTTTACCAACCCTATAGGGGCCACTAAAACTTGCAAAAGTGGTCTCCATAGGGGCACTAGTCAATAATTGTTATGAAGAAGCATTTCCATGGGGAAAAGTGAACAAATATTTTTTGAATAAAACTGAACGACCCCTATAGGGTCAACTTGAGCTTCAGGGGCTAAAAGGTTCAACACTAAAACACTATAGGGGCCACTCTGGAATTCCTGAGTATGTTCATAGTTCTTTAACTTCAAATATGATCATCGTTTGAAAAACTGTGAAGCTTTAACTCCAAATTGAATTTTGAATACAAACCAAGCTTTCTCCAATTTTAAACCAGAGATGATTAAACATTTTTTAGGCGTTTCCAATAGACCTACTTTCATCATCGGAGCCCATAAAATGAGCCATTTCAAGTTCGAAAATAGAAAAATCCCTCAAAACTTATCACCAACCACGCCCTTCTCTCCAACTTGTATCAGACAAATTTCAATAAAAATTTGATGATCCTTGTCCAAACCCACGCCCTCTTATCGCTACGGAGAATTGAGCATTTCCAAGTCGTAATCAGTTCATATAAAGCGAGGCAGTTAAAAGAAGACGATTATTTTTTGCTTTGATGCTTTATCTAGTATTTATTGTTCTGTTTTTACAAGCAACATGGGCCACACCCATCGTACGCGAAACCAAAGGTCTGTTTGGAGTTTTGAACTTTTTGAAAAAAATGGGAAAATGAGTTTTTTTGGGTCTATCTTTACGATTGGGGATTTCTTGAAAAGCACCAAAAAAGCACAACTTTCCAGTTTTAAAGAAATATGGGGTCAAAGCTTCAAAATAGCCTCTTATAACGAATTTCAATGGTTTTCTCTGACTTCGAGGTGTCAAAATTAAAATTTTTTGCAAGCCGAGATTTTCAGGACGTTTAACTGGTAGGTCAAGGAGTCATCAGATCAATTTTTAGGGAAATCCAAATCCCAAAGGGAGACTTCCTGATAAGGTGGGTGGGTTGTTTTTAACCGCGCCTGACTGAGAACTACTTGCGCATTATGGTATGAGAATAAGTTGGGGCTAGCTAAAAAGCTGATTTTTGCGGCTTTCAGTAGAGAGGCGCAAATTGAAAAATCATCTGCTTTTGGAATTTTTGTGAAGATTTTTCTTATTCAGTTTTTTGAAAAGTGATTCATGGAAATCAATATTATTTACTTGCTACTTTACTTTGCTACTTTGATGGTTCGTCTTCGCTGATGATCTTCCTTCTCACTAGGGGAATGGTCTTCCCCTAGTCAGCGCGAACCACACGTCCTCCATGCATCTCTCTGGCGACGGTCATCCAATGGCGTCCATGACGGCTGATGTTCTTCTTGAAGTGGTCTGCCCATCGGGTCGCTGGTCGTCCGCGGGTGCGCCTCGTGTTTCTGGGAATCCAAGATGTTACTCTTGTGCTCCAACGGTCGTCTGTTCTTCTGATGACATGTCCTGCCCATCGGTGTTTGCCGCGGCTGATATGCTTTTCGAGGTCTTTGATTTGGGATAACTGCCGAAGGTCTGTGCTTCTCTAGTTTTGGTTCCATTGTTGGTATCGGGTGGTGCCGAGAAGAGCTCTTTCCAGTGCGCGGTATGCCGTTCTTAGGGCGGAGGAGGTCTCCTTGGTGTCTGGCCAAGCTTCGGATCCGTAGGACAGGGCGGGGATGACTGATGCCTCGAAGATGTGAGCACGTATCTTTGGGTCCTTGATTTGGCTCGTGACTTCCCGGATGTTGTTGAAGGCTGCCCAGCCTGCTCTTCTGCGTCGTCCGATTTCCGTCTTCAGGTCGTTAAGCATGTTGACTTCTCTTCCAAGGTAGACGTAGGAGTCGACTTTTTGTAAGTTATCGCCTTCGAGTGTCACGGGGCCATCATCGCAGAAGCTGACTCTTCGCAAACAACATCAATAATATTTATAAATATAATATATAGGAAGAACACAATTATTTAAATTGTTGCCATTTTTCATACGAACAGCAAATGCCACGGCACTTCAAGACGTTTAAAAGTAGCTGGAAAACTTTTTACAGCCGCAACGCAGCCGCGAGGCATTGAGCCATTTCAAACGCGGTCACGTTGTTTCGAAATGATGAAGAAGAGAAAACATCTAAAAATGGAATCAAATCGATCTAGAGCATAATTTTACAGATCCATCATGTATTTCTCAACAAACTCCGCTTTTCGTTTGTGACACTACATCCATCGTCATAATTGATGGTTCTACCTCCCTTACTGATGCTCAAGTCGATGAGGTACTATTTTTCAGTCTTTAGGAGTTTTGGTATGATATCCTATCGTTCTGAGCTTATTACTTCAAGGAAGCTATTAAAAAAAAATAATATGATTTTCAATGATATTCGATCCTAAATTTCCTGCACAAAATCCTTCTTTTTTCAAAAAAATATCATATATCCTGTTCAACTTCTTTATCGGATTCAAACTCAAAAACCCTCGTTCTCCAGGAAAAAAGGAGTGGCTCATTTTACAACCGATAAGCTTTCTGTACACAAGACGATAGTAAAATGCGGTAACAAAAAGATGAAAAATCAAAAAACCTAGGCGTTTGCGGTTATGAAGCGTAGTTAAAGCGTAGGATCAAGAAAAATGTGAACTTTGAGCTTTGAACTTTGGATATTATTGGCTTGAAACATTGGAACTGCCAAATTTTAGCTTTTCAAAACATAGGTAATTCACGACTAGCTTGGGACGCTCAGAGGGCGTGGCCTGTCTGCGCTCTCCACGAGCCAAGCACTATCTCGTGAATTATCGTTCCAGGACCCTTTTTTGGATGGTACAAGTCAAACTCCTTCTTGGGGAATTTCTTTGAAAACACTAGGAAAAAATGAATCCCGATTTTTTCCCGCGGGAATCCGAATTTCAACGGCGGGAGAAAACTTTGAACGTCCAAGGTTTTCAAAAAAAAAATTGGAAAAAAATTCCAGGAATTCTCCTTTATCATGTCCGAGTTGGTCGGCTACATCTCCTTCCCGAATAACCAAAAAGTGGCCTTCATGACCTATGGAGCATCTTTGGCCAACTGCAAAGCGGCCGACCTGAGCGTCAATGCGGCCTGTCGGGATCTCAAAACTCTAAATGATGACCGACTGGAATCTTCCAGACAGGAAATGTCTTTGACAAGGTAAGATGATAGGAAGGAATTGGAGTAAATACGGAGCAAGTTGATAAATATTGAGACTTTGAAACGTAGCTAATGTCGTGTTCAAAGTGATTCCGTGAAATTCAAAATTGCAATCAGAAAATGAAAAAGACAACTAAATTTTGGAGAGTCGGAGATAGTTTTGGATTTTGCGGAATCAACTCTACATAAAAAATGCTGAAAAATGACAAACTTGCCGCTTTTTTTTGGCTTTGAATTTTGCCAAGTTCAAAAACGCACTATATTAAAATTAATGAACTTCAAAAGCCACAGCGTTTTTTCGACGACGCCACGCCTACCTTTTCTCCGTAAAGTGTCGTGTGTCGTGTGCATGCACTGCGCCGCTTTCGCGCAGAAAAAAACACAATCCAAGGCGATCGAAAAGACAAGTTATTAACGTTTGATACTCAGTGCATTTTATCTGTAGCGCGCACTAAATTTTTTTTGTAAATTCAGAAAGTTTGACGCCTCGCCACCCCGTTTGGGAAGGCCGTGCAGCGGCCTGCGCCTTTAATATTCCCTGTTATTTACGCTTGAAATTTAATCCGATTCCAGCGTTCTTAAGAACGTCGTCACCACCTATGAGAGCGTCTTCTCCTCCAATTCCAACGTTCCTATCCTCCTGTTTACCGGATCGAAGTGAGAAATTATTTATTATTTCAAAAAAATACCCCTTTAAGGAACACTTCGGACATCACCGCGGCCGGGACCTACGCCAAGGCCAACATGAAAAAAAGGCTCAATTCAGTGTTATCAACATGAATGGAGGCGATTTTTTTCGGTAAAAATTTCTACTTTTTAACTTCTTTAATCGCAATATCGACATCAGATTATCAAGCTTAAAAACATGGTGTTTCCTTATTTCAGAAGAAAAGAAATAGTTGAGTCAATAAAAAAAGAAAAAAAGATTCAATAAAATAGATTTTTCTCATAATGGGACTTTCCCAAAGTGAAAAATTAGCTTTTTCAAGAACTTCCCCTACAACACGCTCTGGAACGTGGACAAACCCTTAAAGGAGTACTCTGGCATGACAAATTGCCTACTACAACGATCCTGTGCGGACACATCACCTTGTAAGCTTCCATTTTTGCTTTAAAAATCTTCTTTTTCTGAATTTCTTATTTAATTTGTTTAAAGGAGCATAGAGCCATTATAAAAATGGTCCTGCCACGATTAAAAAGAAATAGTGCATGGTTGGTGGAGAGGGCAGCCAGGCCACGCCCCCTTAAAGCAGCCCTGAATCGGCTATAGAAATTCATGAAGTTCTGGAGGCATGTACTGGAAAAAAAGTCTAGTGACCCCTTAAGAGGCTTTTCAAGGACTACTTAAAGAGGACACTAAAGTGGCCACTAAAACCACCTCTATAGAAACCACTATTTTGCGTCTAAGTGGCCACTAAAGTAGTTTTCGAGGTCTAGTAGCACCCCTTACTAGTTAGACCCCTGAAAAAAATTCTAGTCACTTAAGTGGCTACTAATTCGACTACTTAAGAGGCCCCTAAAAATTCAAAACCCTGTTGCCAATAAAAGTTTTCACAGCCAGAAAAAATTCTCTCAAAAAATTCCAAACTACAGGCGACATCGACAAACCTCCAACAACAGCTCACCCATATCAAGATCGGTCTCCTCAGTGCAATTGCAATACGGAAACTGTTTGGAATGACGTCATGGTTCTTTTCGACAGAAGTGCCGCTACTACAGCTCAAGGACTGGAGGAGGTTGGAGGGAAAATTGGAAATAATAATATAATATTTGGAAAACTTCCGCACTTTTTCACAGGCTTTTCTTGAATGCAGAAAGGTGCGAAAAAGAGGCCAGAAACATTTTCTATAGTCCGTTTTTTGCGACTTGAAAGGGCAGGACTTGTCTGCGCCTTCCTCGTCTCTCGACGACCCTCTCTTGTTGACGCGCTATTTTCGCGTTTCTTTGACCTAGTCGGTGAATGAACAGAGAGACGCAGACCACGGCGTTTTTTTTGGCGACAGCTCCCCCCCATATTTTTTCCGTAAAGTGTAGTGTGTCGTGTGCATACACTGAAGCGCTCTGGCACACGCCGCGTTCTACGTAATTTTCGCGAACTATAATGTATTCTCTTAAATTCTAGATCCAAGTGAACTCGTTAGGGTTCACGCTGGTCTGTCAATAAATTATTATTATTAAAAAAACTGAAATTCATATTTTTTTCACTCTCTGGTGACTATTTTTAAACTTCGCGGAATCACTTTCAACACGACATGTGTTTTAAAAACAAGAAAACAGAAAAATCGCGTTTTTTTTAATGAGAAATAGATTCGTCTCGGGACCCATTGATGCGTCTTTAATATTTCCTGTTGTACGCGTTTTTGCAATGACGTCACATGGGAACGCCGGAGATTTTGATCACGCCCCCCTAATTTTTCGTTTTGCATTTTCTTCCACTAAAAAAAATGCCGTGACCTTTCAAAAAACAGAAATAAATTTTATGCATAGAGAATCAAGTTAACCTTAATAAAAAAAAGAACTTCCCAATTTTAGATGCTCATCAACTGGCAAACGGACATGGAATGGTTCACGGTCCGGAAAACCGGGACAACCGATCCGAAAATGCACACTCGCGTCGGAATCATCCTCTACGATTCGGAACCGCTTCTCTACGCCCCACTGGGCTCTTTGGACAATGACGAAATCGACGACATTAGTTTTACTAACGAGTATCGGAACATTGACTACACCAATATTGAAGCGTGAGTCGGAAGGCCGTTTACAGTCCGTCCGCTGCGACTTGACATTTTTCGCGCGTCTGCGTCTCTCTGTTCCCTCACCGGCGAGGTCAGAGAAACACGAAAACAGCACGTCAAGAAGAGAGGGTTGTCGAGAGACGAGGAGGGTGTAGAGAAGTCCCGCTGGTCTATTGAAAAAGTACGAGCCTCAGACAGTGCATTTTACAGTAATTTTTTTTTCCTCCTATCTTTTCCGGGAAGCTTCCCATCGGTACACGGGGCCTTCCTCTGTGCGTGCGCCTTTAATTTAGCCTAAAGTTTCCGTTATATTAAAGGAGCATACACATCAGTAGGTCGCGCAAATCGAAGGGAAGTTTCCAGGATCGGTTCTGTAGCTCGGAGGAAATAAAAATCGTGTCAAGCTGGCGCAGGATAGGCTATATACTCCGTTTTTCGCGAATGCTGTTTTTTCTCTGCGCCCTCCTTTTCTCTCGGCGACCCTCTCATGTCGACGTGCTGTTTTCATGTTTCTCTGACCTCGCCGGTGAGGGAAAGAGAGACGCAAACAAGCGAAAAGTGTCAAGTCGCGGTGAATGGACTAAACGCATAACTCAAAAAGATTTCGCGAAGTTCAAAGCTTTCTCTAACTCTCCAAATCAATCGTTATCTTATTCACTCTCTGACGATGAAAAATGAAAAAAATTCCAAATTCTTCTTTCTCGGCTTCCAGAGCAGCTACAGCTTAATGGGAAATATCATTCAACTGTCATTTTCCTAATCTTTGAACTCGTTTTTCAAGCTTTCAGTTTTAAAAGATCGATAGAATATTGTAATAATTAAGAACTGTGCTCTCTCAAGACTCAAAAAAAAGATTCCATCAATTCCAGCGCCCTCCGAATGGCAATGGACCAATTCGACACGAACGCTCATCGGCCAAACGTCCGAAAAGTCATTCAAATTTACGGCACTGTCTATAGGTTTTTACAGTTTTTCGAAAGCTCATAAACTTTTTTTCCACCGAAAAAAAAAGTATAAACCTAGCTGCGGTTCAGTTTTCTCCTTCAGAATCCAAAAAAAAACGCCATTTCCAGACCTGGAGGCGTTGATGATCCGCAGCAGATCGCCAACACGTTCAAGGAAGACGGAGGGGTCATCATAGTTTACGGTAAAATTGAACCAAAAAAGTGAAAAGTAAGGAAAATAGGGGCTCAATTTCCTTCACCGAACAATTACTATGATTAATCAGACACTAGGGACGCAACTCGGTTGTACACAGGGTTTTTGAGTCTTCTAAGGATCACTTAAGTGTTCTGCCGCCTCTGAAGCAATCACTGGATGTGTCTCAGTCATGGAGTGGTTACTTTAGCGTTGTCAACGCACTCAAGGGGCTCCTAGAACGCTCAAAAAAGTTTGGGAGACCTCCGAGTAAACGTACTTGTGTGGTGCTTTTTAAATCTGGATGTGAATTTCTAATCTGTTTCAAAGATTCTTTTTTTTTTAAAGTTTTATAAGGGTCGCATGACTTGAAATACAGGAAACGGCTCTTCGCCTCAAGACCTTTATTAAATTTTTGCATTGTCCTTCAAAAACTCCAAAACTCGAGTTTTTGAGTCTAAGACAGAACCGCCACAAATCTACGAACGTGAGAGATCACTGGTCAAAAAGAGATTCTAGAGAGAAAAAGTTGGGTATGATCCTTTAAAAACTCAAGAAAAAGTCTAAGTCTGATCCTTCAACCCACGAATCTACGAAAGTGAGAGACACTGGAGAAAAAAAAGAGCGCTTAAAGATAGAAAGAAAAGCAGAAGCTCTCATTTTTGAACGCTCTCTAGCATCCAAAGATTCGTGGCTTGAATGTTAGGACGTCGAAATTTTTGACCGAAAGTTTCACAGACTACATCGAGGTTCATGGCGCCATCTCTTACGACCTTCTGAGTCTGGCGACGTCGGGATTCGACATTACGTCAGAAGACGACAAAGATTCGACCTTCAGCAAGAATGCTCTGTGCAGGGCGAACTGTTTCTGTCCCGTCAACTACAATTCAATCGATAGCAATGGTGATGGGACTCCGAAAAGCGGTGGGGTTTTCTCGGATTTACAGTTGGAACGGCTTAACGGGTCTGAGTCTACAAAACAGCCGCACTTGGAATGGCTAAGCCTGTTAGGAAAAACAGCATCCGCTATAAAGGCAAAATTCAAGGGATCCCTATAAAGGTTCAGGGTCTTGACCAGAAGCACTCAAAGCTATAGTGGTCCCTAGAGTGGTCTTTGAACTTTTTTATACAAATTATAAAGTTAAAACGACGCCTTTAATTTAACTTGATCGATTATTTGAAATGCTCTTCAACAATAATCGACTGGTATATCCTTTTTATGGGCCACTAATCAACACACCTGAAGGGATCACTATTGCAAGATCTGATAGCTCCTAAAGTTGCCCCTCTAGTGACCACTCTGTAGTTCATAAGCACTTTTGATTCAACAGGTTGCTCTACTGTTTCTAATAGCTTCTAGGACAAGTCTGACGCTTTTTAAAAGACCGCGACGAAACCGCGACGCTGTGAAAAGTTCTCATGACATTTTTTCCCTTCCAGGCTGTTACTACGCCGTTGAAACGACGAACAGTTTTGCTCTGGCCAAAAATCGGTGCAAAAGCTACAACAACGGCTACATTGCAGTGGACGAGAGTCCAGAGAAACTGAGATATCTCAAAAATCGTAATTTAAATCTTGAGATCCAAGAAATGGAGAATATTTTCAGAGTTCTCTATTCCAACCAACTTCTGGATTGGACTACAGTATGATTCGACGCATAACGCATGGGTGTCGACGGATAATGCCACGGTAAAACGAGAGATTATACATATACTCGATTCGGGATGAATATGGACAGTCTGACCTGTCTGCGCCCTCTTCTCTCTCCCATAGGAACATGAGGAATCCTTCTTTGATTCCGTCAACCAAAAAGTCATTGTGAAAAACTTTTTTGATGTCATGACGTCATTCTTTCGTCAATAATACTATGACGTCATTCTTCTGTTAATAATATTATGACGTCATTTTTTTCCATAACATATTTTAACCGAAATCTTCTTCACTCAACTGAAAATTTTGGTTGGGTCTCTTCAATCTTAATGCCAAGAAAAATGACGTCATTTGAAAAGGCTCTGTGGAGGGCTCGCTTTTTGTTTTATCGCGCCATTAGGGGGCGGAGCTTGAGACGACGTCATAGGTCTGTTGAAGTAGTCATCTGAACATTATACTTCAACAGAACTATGACGTCATACTTCCTGAACTCAGATGAAGTCAAGCCTCAAAGCAAGAAAAAAAAGTGTGACAAAAAAGTGGAAAAAAGTCCAAGAAAAATCTTGAAAGAGGCGTTAAATAAAATGCATTGACCGCAGCAAAACAGCCCTTTTTCAGCTGACCACCTCCGACTACCAAGGCTGGGGTCCAGGAGAACCGAAATACAAATCGTGCGCTTTCTCGCCGGCCGTCGCCGCCACAATCGACCCTTACTGGGCCGCAGCGACGGATTGTCGAAATAGTCTGAAATATGTTTGTGAGGCGGCTCCTTGTGACTCGACTTTGTACTGTGAAGATGTGAAAATATAATAAAGATTTCTTGATTTATTTTTTTTCGGCGCCTAGCGCAACAGGTTGTGTGTTTGTCTACGGTACACATGGTCGCAGGTTCGATCCCCACCGAGACCCAACCAAGGGCATAGGCAAATTCGGAAAGGGTGGAAAAGGGCGCCCTTTCATCGACTCGTACGCACCATTTTTGTGGCCTTACCCCTTTTCCACCGTTTTTTGGGCCTTCAAAGTTCTAGAAAAAAAGAAAGGTTCGTTAAAACTCTTTTTGCTGCCTTTTTTGAGCCTCTCCTTTTAGCGGCCATTATCAACCATTCCGATTTGCCCAATGAGTTTAAGAAATGTTACTAGTAAAAAAAAAAAACAAACTCGGCTCTATAATTCCCAACAGTCAAACACAAATACAAAGGCGTAAGAAGAAGATGAAAAGAAAAGTTTTTGAAACAGTTGAGAGCCGTCAATGTTTTAAAAAGACGAGAAAAATAAATCCCAAACATTTATTTCGTGTACTTGTAGAATGCAAATTTGCTGTGTCACAAAAGGGTTCAAGTAAAAAATAACTTCCCTTTGGAAGTTTCAAAATGATTTCATCTCCGGCGGCTGATATCAACTGATTTCCTAATAACTCCTAATCAAATACTTTGATTGAGTCACTGAAAACTTTTATTAGTTTTATTATCTTATCACGCGACCTTTAATTTATTCGTAAAGGAAGGAGAACTATCAGCTTTTTTGCATCATTCCATGAGTTAAAAATCAAAACTACGATCAATTAAGACTCGCGGGATCTATTTCTCAAGACTAGAGGTCGCTAAGAATGGCTCAAAGGGTCCTAAAATCAGCTAATCCGACAAAAAACTACTTGCGCGCAGGGGTATCATGTAGCATAAAACAACGGAAAATCGGAAAGATCCGTCACAGCTGAAGGCTTGGGCAAGGTTTGAGATCCCATTGGGACTTCTAGGTATACTAAAAATCCATTTTTTCACGCTGGTCTCACTTTTCATCTCTGAAATTATCTGTACCAAAAGCCATAGGGTGTGAAAAGGTCCTAAAAACATTACCATCTCATTCCCTGGATATCTCCTCTCATGCTGGTGTTCCAATGGGTGCACCCGTATTAATCCCGTGACTTTCTAGACTACTTGTGCCTCGGTCGGGCTGAAAAGGGACCGCGCCTGCCTCAGCCTATAAAAAAGGCCATGGGGTATGAAAAGGTCCCAAAAAGCATTACAATCTCATTCCCTGGATATCTCCACTCATGCTGGTGTTTCAATGGGTGCACCCGTATTAATCCCGTGACTTTCTAGACTACTTGTGCCTCGGTCGGGCTGAAAAGGGACCGCGCCTGCCTCAGCCTATAAAAAAGGCCATGGGGTATGAAAAGGTCCCAAAAAGCATTACAATCTCATTCCCTGGATATCTCCTCTCATGCTTACCAGGTGTCCCAACGGGTGCACCCGTATTAATCCGGTGATTTTCGAAACTTTTTGAGCCTCAGTAGGGCTGAAAAGGGGGACAAAACGGGTGTTAGAAAAGAGATGTGACGCAGCTCGAAATTCGGAGACCCTGAGCTCAAACGGGGCCTCAGATGGGCCAAAAGTTTTAACAGATTAGCTTATGCGGGCACAAGGAAACAGCCCCTATAGGGAACGAAGAAGTAGTCTTTATAGGAGTAAATAAAGGTGGTCCCTATAGGGTTCGTTCAGTTTTTTTCCAAAAAGGTTGTTTTTTTAGTTTTTGGAATGGAATGCATCTTCGCATAAAGTTCATAAAAGTCATCGACTATTATGCTCCCTATAGGGACCACTTTTGCAAGCTTCAGCGGACCCTATAGGGTTTGGTAAACCTAGAGCGGACCCTCCAATGGCCACTATAAGGACCACTCTGAGGTTCCTAAGAACACCCGCGGAACCGCTGGTTAACATAGTCCGCATATCTTTAACAAAAAATTGATTTTTTGAAACTTTTCATCGAGTATCGCTAACGGCCGCCTTTCACAGAAAATCCTACTCCATGAATAATTAGTTCCAATTTTACTAGCATCTCCGCGCAAAATGCATTATAAGCCGCAGAAGTTTCAATTCGGTGCAAAATTACCGTAATATTGAACTATGATCTTCAACTTCACCTGATAAACCTGAATTATTCCAAATTCTTGATGTTCCGAGCCCATAAAACACTAAAAAAGCTCGCATATCTGCTGTCACACCCTGATTTTAATTGCCAGTCACGCCCATTTTTATCAGAACTTTTTAACGATACCCAGCGACTCATAAAAACCGATTTTTTTATGAAAGCGCTCGTCATTTCGATGAAGGTCCTTCTATCGATTCTCGTGCTTTTCGGTTAGTTGACCCGAATTTTATATAGATTCATAGAGAAAAACAATAAATTTAGCGGGCGAAAAAGTCCTCGGGCAGACCCAATCGCCCGATCCAACATGTAATTGCAAACTGGAGACCGTCTGGAATGACGTCATTTTTGCTTTTGATCGATCTTCCGCCACCACGGATCAGGGCCTGCAGGAGGTTACCTTATTTGGATCAATGGATTAAAAATTTAAAACATGTAAAAAAAAACCATAGAATCAGATGATCTCAAAATAGAGGAAAATTCGAAAAATTGAACTTATTTTGTACCCTGGAATTTTTTTTAAAAGCTCTCTCAACCGTCAGTTTGTAAAAATTCGCAGTTTTCAAGAAATAAGATTCAATAAGGGCCACTTGGAGAGGACACTAAAGTGGCCACTACAAGCACCTTTAAAGAAGCCACTTTTTTGCATCTAAGTGGCCACTAAAGTAGCTTTTAGAAGTCTCGTAAAACCCCTAAGACTTCTAAAGAGGCCACTAGACTTCAGCCTCTTAAGTGGCCACTAAAAAGTCAAATCCCTAAAGTGGCTACTAATTTTTTTCAGAATATCAGAAAAAGCTTAAAAGATTAATATACTTTTTTTTTGTTTTAATTTATACGAAAAATGAACATTATTTTTTTCTACCTGTTAATGAGTGCTATTATCTATATTATTATTAAACTTTTTGTGTCAGTATGTTTTTTTCAAAGTTCAAAAATAATCCATTTCAGCTTCTTTTCCACGTCCAAACCGACATCGAGTGGTTCACACTATGCAAAGGCGACGCCCAAGACGCTTCTTGTCAGGTATCAAACTATAAACTTTTCATGAAAATGAAATCCTTTTGATAAGTGCCGGGGAATAAACATTCAAACGCGGTTTTTGATCTAACACAATTTTGATGCTATTGTCCAATTAAAAATACCAAAAAAAGAACGGAAACTCATTAAAAGTTTTGAATTTTCGTTTTCCCCGCCAGGAGCCGCGACAAAACCGCAACGCAAGTTACCACAATCCACTAAGGATATGGATTAACGCGATGTCGCTGGCGGTTTATTGAAAAACCTGCTTTGTAGCCGCGCAGAGCTTGCATTCTCCTTTTTGCGATATCGCATTTTTCCTGGCGCGATATCGCGTGTTACCGGCGCGATATCGCATTTTTCCTGGCGCGACATCGCGTATTCAAAATTCGTTTCACTCGCGTGAGAACAAAGATAAATGCGAGTTCGACGTGGCGATAAAGCAATTCGCGATATCGCCAATGTACCGCCAGCGATATCGCGTTTCTCTCGCACCAGATTTGACAGTTATCTATAATAACTACTGTGAAATCCTGATTTGTTTTTCTTCCAGAGCAAAATGCGAGCCGGCATCATTCTCTACAATTCCCAAGCGACGGTCCAGAATCAACTCGGCTCCCTGGACAGCGACGATTTCATGGGAATCACTTCATTACCCTTTGACAGCGCCGACGCCGGAACTAATTTAGAAGCGTTGGTTCATTTTTAGAACACGAACAAGGGCAGATTTTCAGGGCTATTAAAACAGCAAAGGCGGAGTTTGATCAGCGAGGTCGCGCCAACGCCAGGAAAGTCCTGGTCGTTCTGGCTACAACCTACAAGTCAGTGAGAAACAAATTTCGAAGAATCTTTTGAAAAAAAAACCTTTAGCTGCTAGAAAATTAGTGTAGAAGATAAGGTCTCGAATTATATTTTTTTAAAACTCTGTACAAAATGGCTCAGGATTATCCTCAAAGTTATGATTTCTGGTTGAAATGCCTGAAAAATTGTTTCAATGGGCCCTTAATCCCGCCTAAAGCTCCTTAACTTGAAAAATATCTAATCTTTTCCAGCTTAACAACTGATAAGTTAAGACTTTGAAGTTCAATAGACATTGTTATCAGAATTTGGTGACATTCTCAAATGGATTTCTTAAGCCTATTGCATTTTGCGGTTTCAAGCCTTTTTGCAGCTCTTTTTTTAAAAATTTCCTGGTTATTTCAGAAGCTAAAATCTACTGTCCTGACTATCATTTAGAAGAATTTGAACTTGGTTCAAAGAGCCATTTTTTAAAGGCTATTCTGTCGGAAGATTTTTAGAACCCCTCTCCTTCCCATTTTAAGGCTATAATTATCCCAACTTGATTTTTCCAGACCCCTTCTACCATTTTTACCACGTTTCAACCAAAAATAACCATTTCCAGGCCAGGAGACTATGAAGATCCCACGCAGATGGCCAACACCTTCAAGGAAGACGGCGGAATCCTGGTCGTCTACAGTAAGAACAAAATTCCAAAATCAAATCATACCGACAAGATAACCCAGACTACGTGGAGCAGCACGGAGCACCAGCCGCCGGGCTCAAATTGATCGCCTCGAATGGATATTTCTGCAATTCGACAGAGGACACCAGCGGGGATTGCCTTCGACAGGCTCAGTGTGATGGTGCGTGTCGGAAATGATAACCCACAAGGGAGGTCATTTCACTTTGCGGTTGGGAATTTCTTGAACAAAAGAACACTCCTTGACGTACCAGAAGAAGTATCTGAAAGTCTCGACCTGCACAACTCTCTAGTTTTCGGGTGCTATAGTCTGTTCAGATTTTGCATGTCAAGCCGTCGCTCAAGCTCCGCCCATAATGGTGCGATAAACCAATCAGAGAGCGAGTTATCCCCATAGTGATTTTGAATGACGTCATTGCACTTGACATTAAAAATCTGAACAGACTATACGACAAGAGTGAGTTTTCCATTTGCGAAGAGTACTGTATGCGAAAATGCGCATTGTGTGCATACACTTTGTGTGTTTACACTTTCGTTGGCTGGACATCTCCGGGTTTTTTGTTTCCGAGCTTTTTTTTTCGAATTTTTTTCAACTTTTTTTTGCTTTTTTCAAGATTTGCATTTTTCTCGATAATATTTGCGCGATGAAAAACAATATCAAATAAAAACAATTGAAAAAAAAAATCGAAAAAAAACCCGGAGATGATCGACCCGGTGACGTCACGCAACGAAAGTGTAAAAAGGCAAAGTGTATGCACGCAATGCCCATATCCGCATACAGTACCCCCTCCGAAAATGGAAAACTCGCTCTTGTCGTAGCACCCGTTTCCGATATATAAGGGCTCGAAGCCCAAAATTGACCAATTTCAAGAAATTTTGAGGGGTTTCTTGGACTTTGAACTGTCCTTTCTGGAAAACAAGAAACCTGGGAAATTCAGTATTTTTTCTGGTACATCAAAGAGCTCTCTAGCCAATTTTCAAGAAATTCCCAACTTAAAGGTAAAATGACCTACCTGGTCAGAAATCCCCCAAAACCTATAAATCCAATTTTTCTTGAATAAAACAGTTAAAATCAACGATGAATGTTTTCGCAACGAAAAAATTATCAATAACTCTTCTAAAAAGCTTTTATTTATATCCTTGAACCTCTAAGATCCCTTAAAACCCTTTTGAATACCAGAAATCTATTGATTTTACTGATAATCAACTTTTTTAGAAATTTATTAGCCTTGAAAATCACATGACTTGAATCCAGTGAAAAGCTTTTTGCTGAAAAGTGGAGTCAAAACTAAAAAAAAATCAAAGAAAATTCAAAAATTCAGAAAAGTTCATACTTGCTTATAAATAGAAGAGTTATTCCTTGGAAAGATTTTTTGATTTACAAACTGAAATTTTTGGTTTTTTTCCTAGAGATCAAGAGCTAAAGTCAAAAAAAGTTTGAAAAATAGCTAAAATGGGACCTTTTTTGTCTTGGGAAATCGATTAGCCAATCAGATCAAGCAAGCTTCTAGAAATACCGTTACATCTTCTTACTACAACCTAGTGAAAATGGCACATTTCAGCAAATTGCTTCTGTCCGCCCAACTACAATCCCTACGACAGTGTCGGCACTCGACTTCTTCCGATGGGAGGTCTGAAAAAAATATAAGTCGAGATAGCTGAAGCGTCCCCCCTTCCCATTGCAACCTCCTTAATATTCTGGGAAAAATTTTAGTTGTCATTCTTGAGCCTCTAGACTAGAGGTTTTCCCAAGACACCTTAAGTGGCCACTAATTCGACTACTATAGTGGTCACTAAAAGGTTTCCCATCAAATTTACACATGATTTCAGCAAATGACACATTTTGGATATCTGACGCTTTTCCTAAGACTGAAACAAAAAAGTTCGAAAACACGGCGTTTTTTTTTGGCGACAGCCCGCCCATATTTTTTCCGTAAAGTACAGTGTGTCGTGTGCATACACTGCGGCGCTCTGGCACGCGTTATTTTTGCGAATCGAAAAGGTTGTTGGGCTGGCCCTCGCACGAGCTTGGTGACAGACCAGAGATGAAAAATACTTTTCGGATACGATCCTTGAACTATATATTGAAAGAAAAGTTCTAAGCATCCTACCAAAAATTCCTAAGTTTTCTCCAAAAAGAATATCCATCAAGGCTGCTACTACACGATTCCCTTGAGCGCCGCTCAAAAACTCGCCTCCAACAGATGCAAAAGTTTCAACAGTGGAACCTTACCGTATGTCGAGTCCGCCGACAAATTCAAATATCTGATCGATCGTAATATTTTTCCCCAACTTCTTGTTTTTCAATTCAAAGTTACAGAATTCCCGAGTGGAGCAAATTTCTGGATCGGCTTGACCTACAATACTTCGACGACCAAATGGCAATGGCCTGATAATTCGGCTGTGGGTTTTTTTTGCCATATAAGAAAATCATTACTTTTTTCATATTTTCATAGATTCATAGATAAGTCGGATCCCTTAAAGGATTCCTTTAGATCTAAAAATTGAGAAAATACATTGAAAAAATTTCCTGTATCACTTGACTTTAGGAGGAAGATTTACGAAAAACTCTTTTAATGGTAGATTTAAAACAAAAAAATTTAAAGACTTGTGGGATAGTTTTGAAGAAAAACATCTCAGGAACGCCAGAGAGGTCCCTATAGGGGTTAAGGGAAAAAGCGCTTTCAGGTGGACTAAAAAGTGCCCTCTGTAGGGCTGAATGAAGGTGGTATACAGGGGTTTAGGGTCTGACTCCAGAACGCCTAAAGCTTTGATGGGGACAAGGTACAATAAAATTTAGGTGATCCCTAAAGGGGTATAGGTTCTAACTTGTAAGTCCCTAAAGCTCAAGTGGTCCCTATAGGGTAAAGAATAATGCTACCTAGACGGCTGAAACTCAGGTGGTCCCTATAGGGGCATAGGTTTTGACTTGTAAGACCCTAAGGTCTTCAACTACTATTTCCCCTATAGGGGCCACTTTTGCAAGCTTTAGTGGCTCCTATATGTAGAGACCGCAGAGCCACGCCCCTTTTTGCGATGGTGAAATGCACTGGTTTTTTAGATTTTGTGTTTGATGTTTTCGTGAAAGCACAATACTGAACCAAACACAGAGAAAATCAGTGGAAACATAGAGAAAACCTTCCTCTTCAATCTGATATACTTTTCACCCGATTTTCGAAGCGTTTTAGCGGAGTGTCGTACGAAAAACCAAAGCTACTTTTTTTCTTCGGGTTTTTAACCTAGTTCCATGTCGTTGGCGCCTTTTTTTATTTTCGAATTCGATTTTTAAGTGAAAAACACATCTTTTAAGATAAAAAAATTAAATTTTTTACGGTGCCTAATCTTTGTGAGGCCGCGCAAAGTTGAAAATGTTTTACTCGGTTTCGAGAGCGTGTAAGTAAAAAAATTTTATTTTAACTTGTGCATTAAATTGTAACTAAAAACTTTATTAGTATAAAAACTTATTCCGAAAAGTTTGTTTTCTGAGAAAAAAAGACAGTGAAAATTTCGAAATTCATTTTTAGCATGGTCAGATGTCGTTGGCGCCTTTTTTTATTTCTTAAATATTAGCGTATCTCAATTTTCAATCAATTAAAAAAATAAAATAAAAATTTTAGCGGTGCCTAAAAGTTTAATTATTGTTAATTTGGAGCCAACGTTAAAAATAACAAAAAACGCCGAAAAGGGAGGTATTTTGAACTGAATCTTTATGAATAAATTATTTTTAAGTGGTCCGAACACACGTGACTAATAATTGTTCAACTATCATAACTTTTTTTTGAACAAGATTGTCGGTAAATGCTGTACTTTGAGGTGAAGTGGTGTATAGCGCGAACGCTTTCCATCTCTGAGAGGTGGACGTGGAGCAGCGCAAGTGCGCTTGCATACAGTTTCGATATCGCGAGTTCGATCCTCACAGCGGCCATTTTTTTAATTTTTTTAATGAAAAAAATAGTTTTTCTCTTCAAACTTGTGGTTTTATACTGTTTTAATGACTTATTATGACTTTGAAAAACCGGAATAAACTACTAAAAAAATTTAAATCCGATATGAAAACAAAATGAACGACCAAAAGTGTAAAATCTAAACTTTCAGTACTAAATTTCGCAACATTTTTCACTTCTTTTTTGACCATAACTTTTTTTGTTTTCAACCTTTTTTTAAAAACTGAACTGTTTTGAATAGTAAATTGGAGCAGCTATTCAACCATAGTAATATTGACGCTCGAACATTTTTTTGAAAATTTGGTTGCGGTCCCTACCTATATGGAAGGTAAAGTGGTCACTAGAGGGCGTCCTTCAAGGACTTCTAAGCTTACCCCTACAGGGACCACTCTGAGGCTTATAAGCTATTATTAACGCAGTCGAAGTAAATTCCGTCTCAAATTGGATCTAAGGGCAAAAAGTTCAAATTGAGGAAAATTATTTTGACCTAAAAATATTTTGTGTAGACTTTTGTTCTTTGTGTGTCATAATTCAAGAATCTTGATGCTTTTTCTAAAAAAAAACCCCCCAAAAAAGGCTCATTTTTTCCTTCTGCAGTTGGCCACTGACGGCTACGCTCCCTGGGCGAAGAACGAGCCATCGAACCCGGCCTCAAAAGGTTGCGCCTACTCTCCGATCACGACCTCCTCGACTTCCGGGACCTGGGCGACGGCCGACTGTCGCCAGGGCTATTCCTACGTTTGCGAGTCTTCCCCGTGCGACTCGACCAAATACTGTACCATCTAATGAATCTACTGTATTTTCTCCTCCTGTATTTATGTTTTTTTTGAAGAGATAATAAAAGAGATTCTTGTTGTTGTACGTTTGGTATAAACAGGATGAACCTTCAAATATTTTGAAAAGATCGGAAAAAAGAAACTTGGCTCAGACTTCCTAACTCTCCGATTCAAATAGAAAAATGAATTTTCACAAAGTTATGTTTGAAAGACGTAAAAAATCCCCTATATTTTTCTCTATTTTTTCAAATTTTGATACCTCAGAATTCGAATAAAAAATCAAATTTTCAAAAAATTCAACTTGGATCGTCCTCAGGGTTTGAAGTACGTCCCAGCTGATTTTCCCTAGATTCTCAAGAGTTCATTTTTTTCACCTTTTCAATAGGTAAATAATTCTAAATAATCTTCCAATCATTCCAGGATGACCAAAAAAATACCAATTTTTCTATTTCTACTCTTCAACTTCTCCTCGGCCGGTCAAATCGGCAAGTGTCAGTGCGATCCACATTCCGTTTGGGCAGACGTCATGTTTCTTTTCGAAACGACTTCCACCATGACTTATCCCGTTGTTCAGCAGGTTATATTTCAAAAATTACTGAGTTTCAATGAATACTACAGGGTTTTGACGTTGTAGTGGTCACTCTAGTAGTCGAATCGCTGGTCTCTTAAGAGGCTAAAATTTGAAAGCCTTTTTAGAAGTCAATCTAAAAATCCGACGAGACCACAAAAACCACTATAGTGACCCCATAGCCGCAAAATAATCGATTCTCTAGAAGTGGTTTTAGTGGCCACTTTAGTGTCCTCTCCAAGTAGTCCTGGAGGGACCTCTCAAGCGGCCACTGATTTTTTTCACAGAGACTCTGGAACAGTTATCAAAAATATAAGAACGATAAAAAAACTGAATTTTCTATTTAAAATTAGTTTCATAGGACTTAAAAGGCTCTTCTATCTAAGAAATTAAAAACCGTCTAGGAAAACTAGAGGGACCATTTTAGAAGAGACCATTACAATTTCAAAACCCTGAAGTGACCAATACAACTTGCAAACCCTAGAGTTGCCACTACGAATTGGAAACCCTATAGAGACCACTACAGCGTCCAAACCTTAGAGCGGCCACTACAACGGTTAAAACCTAAAGTGTCCACTACAAGTTCCAAACCCTTAAGTGGCCACTACAAATCGCAAACCCTACAGTGGTCTCTGCATCATGCAAGCCCTATAGAGGTCACTACAATGGTTAAGGCCTAAAGCGGCCACTACAACTTGCAAACCCTGAAGTGGTCACTAAGACCTGTAAACCCTAAAGTGGTCACTATAACGTCCACACCCCAGAGTGGCCACTACAACGTCCAAACCCTAAAGAGGCCACTCCAACTTGCATGTCATGAAGTGGTCACTACAACGTTCAAACCCTAAAGAGGCCACCATAACATCCAAACCCCAAAGAGGTCACTACAACGTTCAAAACCTAAATTGGCCACTACAACGTGTAAGCCCTAGAACGTCCAAACCCTAAAGTGGCCACTAAATGTCCAAAACCTAGATTGGAGTTGTAGTCGTCACTGCAAACTCTAAAGTGGCCACTGAAAACTGCAAACCCTAAAGTGCCCACTAGAACTTGCAAACCCTGAAGTGGCCACCAAAGACTTGCGCGATCATTTTACTTTCTGAAAAACCAAATTTTTAAAAAGTCAATTTTGATTTTGGACATAATTACACTGGAAAACATGTCGGTAAATTCAAAAATGACAGAAAATTGCAAATTACTTCTTTTCGAAACTGTTTTATTGATAAATAAAAAAAAAATCAGTTATTCGCCCTGGTGCAAAGCGACATGGACGAATTTCACATCGTGGCCGAGGGAGACCCTGCATTCGACCCTCCCAACAAAACTGTCGAGGTTATCAAGAGTAGTTCTTTTTCTACTTCTGATTCTTTATTTCAGAACACGACTCGGATCGGAATAATCTCCTACAACACCAATGCGACGCTACTTTATCCATTGGCTTCACTGAATAACCAAAAACTTTCCGATATTCAGAGTTTCCCATACTTTGCTGGAGATTCCGCCGAGGCTAGCTTGGAGAGGTGGATGAAGAGTTTCTAAATATAGTCGCTTCAAGGCTGGCTTGGGATTTCGGAGCTCCAGAGTGGTCCCTATAGAGTGGGGCATTCAAGGTTCCCCTCTAGTGACCTTAGGGGTGCTTGAAGGTGTTAGGAGTTTGAAATAAGGCGATGTAGTGAGATATCTTTGATTGGAGCCTTGAGGGACCACTTGAGCTTTAGGTCTCTCTGAAAAAAAAATTGGTGGCCACTTTAGGGACGTTTCAGTGACCACTTTAGCAGTTGAAATAGTGGCCACTTGAGGGACTCCCGTCAGAGCTGCCTATAGGGGCCACTGTCTCCTAAACCCTATAGAGGCCACTGTCTCCTAAACCCTATAGGGGCCACTCTCTCCTAAAACCTATAGGGGCCACTCTCTCCTAACCCCTATAGGGGCCATTCTGGCGTTCCTAGACGTGCCACTGTGTCTCTCACTGGTTTTTAAACCGTGCCCATTTTTCAATGGATCATTCGGCTATAGTTCTAAACTCAAAAGTTTCAGCGCAATGGACTTGGCTTTCGATGAACTATTCGACGAGAAGAAAGGTCGGCCGCACGTTCGCAAAGTTTTGGTCATTTTCGCGACGAGTTACAGGTGAGAAAACCTTCTTCTTCTTTTTCTGATTTCTTGGTCAGATAGCCCGTTTTTTCGTGCCTTGAAACCGCTATTTCTCTCTGCGCCCTCCTCGTCTCTCGACGACTCTCTCATATTGCCGTCCTCTTTTCATTTCTCTCTGACCTCGTCGGTGAGGGAACAGAGAGACGCAGATACTATAAAGCTTCCATGTTGCGATGGACGGACTATAGTCTGCTCAGATTTCGGACGTCTGGTAAAATGACGTCATTCGGAAAACGCTCGGTGGCTGGCTCGCTCTCCGATTGGTTCTTCGCGCCATTAGGGGCGGAGCTTGAGCGACGACTTGTGATTCAAAGTCTGAACAGATTAGATTCGTAAAATCAACCAATAGTTCAATTTGCTGACATTATCGTCTTTTTTTGTACCGCGTTGTCGCCGCACCGGACTCGCATTTTTCTAGACACGACCTTGCATCATGGAAAATTTTTAGAAGAGCGAGAAAAATGCGATACCTGCGCGGTGCATTCGCGATGTCGTCAATATACCTCTAGCGACATCGCGTTTCTCTCGCGTCAAACTCGCCAGTTATCTTTAATATGGGCTTTTTTTGATTGAAAGAATTTTTCTCTACGCGACCTTGCATTGTGGAACTTCAAACTTCTTCAAATGAGGAAAGCGAGAAAAATGCGATTCCTGTGCGATGACTTTGCGATGTCGTCAATGTACCGCTAGAGATATCGCGTTTCTCTCGCGTCAAACTCGGCAGTTTTCTTTAACAAGGGCTTTTTTTTTGATTGAAAGATTTCAGGACAATGATGGGAGAAGATCCAAAGCAATTAGCAAGCTCGTTCAAACTCGACGGAGGGATCGTAATCGTTTACGGTATAAATATCTGAATTTTCTCAATTTTTCGTCTCAGATTTCGTCCGAAACATCGTGTCGCAAGACCTCAAGGCCATCGCCTCGAAAGGCTTCTTTAATACTTCTCAAGATAGCGACGAAGATTGGCCAGATTTCCTACAGCAAGCGTTGTGTGACGGTAATAGGACCGTATTTCTAGGACGTTTCGGAAAATTCGAGTCAAAACCCAAAAAAATCTAACTTTTCTTTTACATCATCCACACAGTACCCCAGACCTTTCATTTATAATTCGAATAATTAATTAAATTTTGCAAAAAATGAACTTGTTTCCAATAAAAACATCTTCAAAATTTTCGCTTCACTGTGAAAAACCTAGTGGCCCCTTAAGAGGCTGATCAAGTCCCTCGACACTAAAGTGGCCACTAAAAACACCTCTATAGAAGCCACTAAATCAGGCCTCAGTGACCCCTACAGTAGTTTTTAGGAATACTGTAGTACCAAAACCCTAAACTGGCCACTCAGAATTTCCCCAGTAATGTCACGATGTTTTTGTCCGATAAGCCTTATTTTTGGAGGCGCGAAAATCTCCCGTGGCCAAAAAACACTGAAGAACGGTTTTCCACTCGAAACCCTTTACCGAATTTCTCCATGCTCCTTTAAACTTTCAAAAAAAGTATTTGCAGCCAACTGCATCTGCCCCCCGAACTACGCCTCATTCGAGACAAATGATTGGCGTCCAGTTCCAGGTGACGGTAATTTACATTAATCCCCTGCGAAAGCTTCAAATTAAATCAACGAAAACAGAGTGTTTTTACGCGTCCTACATCACCGCCAATTACAAGCTTTCGGCCCGAAAATGCTCCGAATTTCATTCCGGAATCCTTCCCGTCATCGATAGCCAGGCGAAGAGCGATTTCCTGGCTTCAGGTGGGTGTTTTGCGGGTTTCTATTTCTTGCCCTTGCTCGTTACTACTTTACTTTAAACTACTTACATTACATTTAATTTAATTAAAGTTAACAGCTCTTTTAATCACGACTTGTATACCAAATATGACTTCTCTGTGCACTCTTTTCTCTCGTCAACTCTACCTTTCTCGTCCTATTTCCTATGTCCTCAAAGGTGAGGGAAAAGAGAGCGCAGACAGGTTAGAAAGTTTCAGTCGTGACGAATGAAGCTTACCTAGCTTGTAAAAACTCGCAAAGTCTGACTTCTCTGCGCCCTCTTTTCTCTCTCCAACTCCTTCCTTTTACGTGTCATTTCCTATGACCTGATAGGTGAGAGAAAAGAGAGCGCAGGCAGGTCAGACATTTTCAGTCGTACCGAATGAAGCTTATCTAGCTTGTAAAAACTCGGAAAGTCTAACTTCTCTGCGCTCTCTCCTCTCTCCTGTGCTTTTCATTTTTCTATGATATCACAGGCGAGAGAAAAGAGAGCGCAGACTGGTCAGAATGTATCCAGTTTGGACGAATGGAGCATACTGAATTTGGCAAAATTTAAAAAAAAGTCTGATTCCTCTGCGCTCTCTCCTCTCTGCTGTGCTATTTCCATTTTTCTATGACCTCAAAGGTGAGAGAGAAGAGAGCGCAGACAGCTCAGAATTAATCTTATCGGGACGAATGCATCATACTCAACTTGGCAAATCTCAAAAACTCTGATTTCTCTGCGCTCTCTCCTCTCTCCTGTGCTATTTTCATTTGTCTATGACCTCACAGATGAGAGAAAAGAGAGCGCAGACAGGCAGACTGTTTCAATCTTGGCGAATGGAGCTTACTAGCCAAATTTCAAGTCTGACTTCTCTGCTCTCTCACTTCTATCGTCGACTCTTTCTATTTCACACGCTATTTTCTACGAACGAGAGAGGAGAGAGGGAAGAGAGCGCAGACAGGTCAGACTGTGAACAGTCGTGTCGTCTATACTCGAAAAGTCTGACTTCTCTGCGCTCTCTTCTCTTTCAAGTGCTATTTTGTTTCTATTACCTAACCGGTTAGGGAAAAGAGAGCACAGACAGGTCAGACAGTGTAAAGTCGTAGTGAATGAATTTAAAAAGATCCTCCATTTTTAACAAGGCTAACTTTGGACGTTAAGGGGCGTGGTCTGTCTGCGCTCTCCTCCAGCTAGGCACTATCTCTTTTATTCTCGTGTCAGGACCCTTTTTTCGATGGCTCAAGCCAGCCGTGAATCAGCTATAACCAAAAAGTTGAAAACAAGTTAATTTTATCAGTAGAGCGAATATTCCCTGCATATTCCTTCCCACCTTTTTGACGTCCTTTCCAGGAAATAATCACAAAAATCTCTTTCACTGTATTTTCAAGCTTTTTTCGCAGCTTTTAAGAAGAAAAATCAGTTCAGAAACCTCCAATAGGCCTTTCTGGACCGGCCTAACTTACGACAACACGACCAACCTCTTCTACTGGTCCGATGGAACAAATGTGAGCCTATCCAAAAAACATATGTTCAGTATTTTTTGCAGGTAACCGAAAGTCAACTAAAAGCCAAATTCGCCCCATGGGACGGCAATGGCGAACCCGATATTTCGTCGGGAAATCGATGTGTTGCTCAATTGTCGAACGGAAAATGGAGCTTGGAGAATTGTCTGGAGGTTGGTCTAGAGGAAATGGAGAAACTGGCCTTATAGGGTACAAATAAGTGCTTCCTATAGGGCTAAAACTTAGGTGATCCCTAAAGGGGTGTAGGTTCTGATTTGTAAGCTTCAAAGGCACAAGTGATCCCTATAGGGTCCAAATTAGTGTTTCCTATAGGACTAAAACTCAGATGATCCCTAGAGGGATAATTATTATCATTATTATTAATATGGGTGGACTTCTAAGCCCCTAAGGCTAAAGTGATCCCTATAGGGTACAAAATAGTGCTCTTCATAAGGCTAACATTCAGGTGATCTCTGAATTGGTATAGGTTTTGAATTGTAAGCCCCTGAAGGCTTAAGTGGGCCCTATAGGGGGAGGAAAAGTGGTCCCAAGAGGCGAACCTTCGAAATCCCCTGAGACTGCCCCTATAGGGACCATTCTAACGTTGCTAAATTGACCATGGCAAGGAAACCAAAGTTTTTTTACTTGCTAGGGCACACTTTTGCGGTTTTGGAAACTCTCAAGGCCTTCCGTTAGAGAAAACGACTCCAATTTTACTAGACAACTGAAAAAAAAGAAAGCAAAAACAAAATTGCAGGGTTCCGCTGCCATTTGTGAAGTTCCACCATGCGACTCCGTCAACTACTGTCCATTGTAATTAAGAAACTAATAAAAAAATGAAAAAAATTTTTTTCTGAGATATTGGTCATTTTTCAATTTTTCAAATTTTGTGAGAATAAAAAAATTCGAATTTCCAACTTTTTCTACACTGGAAAAATATCTAAAAAAATACACAAAAAACGATCAGAAAAATAATAATGAAAAATAAATAAAGAGTAACGTAAATTTATTATTCCATAAACTCCATAGATTGGGTCGAACTTTCGTCGTCCCATTCAAAATCGATCGTATCGTCGAAAACCGTCACGCAACTCTGAAAATACCTCAAATTAAATCCAAAACGAAATGACCCGCATTGAAAATGACTAGATGCGTAGCAAAAAAAAAATTTTAAAAAAAACGGTTCAAAAGTTTTTTTTTTTATCGAATTGGTCTAGATAAAGATGCACAAGACTCTCCAAAGCCATTCCAAATGCGACCAAAATCTTCAAATCAACAGAAAACCTTGAGAACATTAATAAGACGATCATAATCGGGAACGTCAGTCCTCGTCAATTTCTCCAAAATCAACGGAAACGCGTCGAATGGCTTGCCCATCCTTCTAGAAAACCAATATTTAAAATTTTTATTTAAAATTTCTCCTAGAAAAAACTACATTTTTGCATTATTTTGGCATATTTTCTTCAATATTTGGAATTTTTTTGTTGCGCTAATTTAAGATTTTCGAAGACATTTTATAAAAATTAATATTCAAACCTAGCTCATAAGTTTAAAGGCGCATCGTGGTCTAAAATAACACAGAAAACTCTTCGCTTCAAGAACTTTATACTATTTTTCCAAATTTGAATTTTGATTTTGCGAAATCTTCACAACACAAAAATGTCGTCAAGTTAGATGTTTATTGTGCATTCACCGCTGACGAAAATTTACGTACTACCAAAGTTTATATAATTTTTTTATGCCGTGTTCAAAGTAATTTCCGCGAAATGCAAAATGGTCTCTGACCCTCCAAAATTTAGTTATCTTTCTCTTTCTCTGACGGCTATTTTGAATTTCGCGGAATCACTTTGAACACGGCATTATAAAAAAAAATTTTTTGAAGCTAAAAAAAGAGAAAAAGGTATTATTTGCTCATTTATCAGAACGGAAAATACTCAAGGAATCAAATTTTTATTGAAAAAAATTATAAATATTTTAAAATGTTTTTATTGCTGCTATTCACGAGAATTTTTTTCTTTATATGCTTTTTTTCTCATTTACATACCTCGACGAATAAGTCTTATTGAAAACCCTCTTGGCGCGGCTGATTTCGTCCTGGTCGGTCAGATTCCGCCAAGGAACGCCTCCTTCGGACATTTCGACCATCGAATAGTATAAGCACCACAAATCGTCGACCATGCCCTTCAATTCTTTGAATTAGAATCGGGAAAAACTTTTTCATTCCAACCTGATCTTTCCTATCATGAACCGCCAAAGACACGTATCTGGTCGTGCCACGAAAAGAAGCATAAGATCTTTCGCGTCGAAAAGTTCCATTGGGACGACGAACTTGTCGGGCCATTCCTTGAAAATAATTTTCAAAAATTTATGGGTAATTTCAGTTGAATATTTTGCACCTGAAGAAGTTTACGGGAAAACTTTCCCCCCGTCTTTTTAGCCTCTCATTTATGAAAACGTTTTTCCTTCAATAGAGCTTTTTTGACTTTCAAAAGCACCTATTCTGGGAAAATTTTTAGTGACCACATTGGGTTTTGACGTTTCAGTGGCCACGATAGTAGTCAAATTAGTGGCCACTTAAGGGGTTAAAAATCAGTGGCCTCTATAGGGGTCTAAGTGCTACTACTAGATCAATAAGTGGCCACTTTAGGGGTCGATGGATCGACATAACTGGTCCAATCTGTTTGTTTTAAAATTATCAGAGTTACTGGAAGGAATACTGGATGAAAAACTACTGAAGTGGCCACTACAGAGGTGGGTTTAGTGGCCACTTTAGTGTCCTGTACAAGTAGTCCTTGGCGAGCCTCTAAATGGCCATCAAAAATTTTCACAGTTAACCTCAGTTTATCTGTAAGATTATTCAAAAAATCCTAGAGCTCACCAAAATCGACCACATAAAGTATTCGACGATGTTCGCCGATCCCAACACAGACGTTTGACGGCTTTATGTCCCTGGAAAAAAAAAAATTTCAAGCATAAAGCCATTTATGGACCTGTGAATAAATCCCAACTTATGAACGTCCCGAAGACCTTCGATACATTGAACTCCAATACGAACGCTCTGAAGAAAAAAAAAATATACTTTAGTTTGACTGATTTCGGAAATGTTTAAAGGAGCATATAGGGGAAATTCATAAAGGTCTCGAGGAGAAAAGTTTATTTGTGCTTTTTTTATGTTTAGCAAGACTTATGCGCCTATAAAATATTTTTAGCCTATTCACGGCTAACTTTGGACGCTGAGGGGGCGTGGCCTGTCTGCGTCTCCACCAACCAGACGCTATCTCTTTATTATCGCGTCAGGACTCTTTTAGTTATGGCTCCACAGCTATAATAAGATGGTGGAAATTCATTTATTCGTTCAAAACATTTTTTGAGGGATTTTAGGACTGAAAAGTACACCAAAAACGGTTTTTCGTGTAGAGACCTTCGCAGTGAGAAAACTTTGAACCGACTATTTTTTCAAATAATACTCACAGTATGCTGAGAAAAATGTTTATTACGCTGAATCCGACGCAAATCGGCCAAATTCCTGCCCAGCATTTGCATAACGATAAAATTGTACTTGCCTAGCTCACCGCTGTATAACTGAAACTTCCAAAAAAAGAGTTTTTTTTTCTTATTGAAAACTGACAACTCTTGGAATATGCTTGCCACCAATCAACTGAACGAGGACACTGAGTTCCAAGACAAGACGAGCCGATTCTCTGGATTTGGGCTCGACTTTCACGGCCACCACGAGTCCGGCTTCCTGGGAATCGTATTTTGAGAATTTTTAGTGAGTTTCTAATGTTTCTGAAAACTGAAAGGCGTGTGAAAAGGGAGGAAAAGATCAAAAATCACTTAAAGATAGGTTCAAGAAAGCCTCCTAGATTTTTAACATTTTTCTGTCGAAAGATTCAGAAGTTGAAAAAGATTTTTTTTAAAAACTAAAAAGACAAAAAAATTTTAAAAAAATAAGCTCAAAAAGAGCAATTTTCACATTTCAATCTGCTTACGGACATGTCCCTTTAATCATGGGCAAAAGTCCAGAAAGACCTAAAAAAACCTTCAATAAAAATACTTGTAAAAGGCCTCATTAAAAATGGATCCGTTGATTTTTCTCTAGTATGAGCAATAATGTGCAAACATGAGATATAAGGTTTTTAACATTGTATTTTTCTTGACCTTACTACAAAAAAATGACCTTGAAAGGAAGAAAAAAATTCTGTAGTATGAGCAATAATGAGCAAACGTTATATTAGACTTTTAAAACTTGAAAAAAAAAACTATTTTGCACTTCGTGACAAATTTTGATCGAGATTCGTTGATTTTTTTTCTCTCTAGTGTGAGCAATAACGCGCAAACATGAGATGTATGGTTTTTAAAATTAGGATAAAGTTATTTTGCACTTTAACAAACTCTGATGGAGATTCCTTGATTTTTTGCCGAGATATAAATTTTCGAAGCTTTTTACCGTAATCCTTTGAGCTACCGTAACTCGTAAACTAGCCGAGTGAGGATTTTCGGTTTTGTTTTTGAAAAATCGAACAAACAAGTTATTAACGTTGAATACTCAGTGTAATTTGTGACGTAGAATGACGTCATTTTATCCGTAGCGCGCACTTACTTTCTGCGCCTAACTAAATTTTAGAGTGTCAGGGATAATTTTGCTACATTCAAGCTTATTACGAGGTTCATTATCTAATTATTTTCTCCAAAAATCGAAAAAAATCTTCACAAGGTCAGTGGCACGGTAGATCTGTCCGAAGGCGCCACCACCGACGATTTTTTCAACTCGGAACGTCCTGCCGACGCCAATAATCGTGCCCCGTTCCATGAAAGGATCAGCCGCCTTGCCTCTTGTGATTCTCGTGAGCTGGACCATGTTTTTTCTACTATTTCATCAGCTGATTCTACCTTGAGCTCTTCATTCCGCTGATAAGGTCGATATTGATCATATTTGTTTAGCTTCAAATTAACATCGATTAAGTGAGGGAGTATATAAAAATTTATAAACCTGATCCATTTGAAGACGACAACAAACTCTGAGCACATAGAAATGAAATAAGTAGATAGAGACGTCGATATATTTTATTTCATGGCAATGGAAATAACTTCAGAATTCCAGAGTGGTCCCTATTGAGGTTAGGGGGAAAAACAGTCCCTGTAGGGGTCACAAAAGTGGTAACTATAGGAATAAAATTAAAATGGTCCCTATAGGGGGTTCAGGGTCTGATCCTTTAGCCTCTGAAACTCAAGAAAACCCTGTAGGGTTCTTTTAATTTTATTCAAAAAACGCTTTTTCCCAAAATTTTTTGAAACCCTTGGTTGGGTCGAGGCGGGGATCGAACTTGTGACACTGTGGACCGTAGACAGGCACATAATTAAATTTTTTTAGGAAATTACTAAATGAAAAAGCCGTTACTGAATCATTTTGCTTCTTTAAGACTTTTTCCGCTGTACTATTTTGTATAGCTTTTTTGAAGAAAATACAAAAAGTTTCAAAAATTCTTACTCGTTTTCAATAGAAGCAGCAGAAAATTTTGCAACAAGAAGCTTCTAAATTTTTTTTTCTATTCGCAATCCCAACAAGGATTTCCGAACAGACTACTTAGGAACTCCAAAATTGTCCCTTGGAGGATCCCTCTATGGACCACTTTACCCACCCTTATAGGCGGCGCTGAAGCTTTCAAAAGTGGTCCTTATAGGAGGCGTTCTAGTCGATAGCTGTTATGAACTTCAAGCGAAGAAGCGTTTCCATGAGAAAAACTGAATAAATAAGCGTTTTTTTTTAAAATGAAACCCCTATAGGGTCCACTGGAGCTTTAGGGTTGTTTTTCCTTCTAACCCCTATAGAAACCCGTCTGGTATTTCTAAGTAAACGTATTTACAATAAAAATACATCAAATAATCGAAAATTTAGTCTAGATAAGGACGTGGCGACCAATCTTTGGGATGTTCTGCGGCTTCCTTTAACTTGTCCTTGTTTAACCTAAATTTCAAAAATGATTCTCTGAAAAAGCAAGTAAATGCACCTCGGCAAATCGGCTCTCAACATGAACTCTCGAATTTTCCATCTTAAAGAGAGACGACGATTTTCCCCCGGCGCCGGATGCCGTTCCCATTCTTCCCTTGAAAAATTTGATTTTTAAAGAAATTTTTTTCAATGGTTTACTTGTAGAGATGATATCGAGTCACGGGATCGTATTTGAAAGGAGCCCGGCCTGGTTTTTTTGAAACAGAACTGGACGGACGCCTGGAAATTATTTCTTATGAAAAAAAACAAAAATTTGAGCTCACTTGGATCGATAAATCTGACGGACTGCTTTTTGAGGTTTTTTTCCGCACCTTCGGCTATGTTTTCTGGAAAAAAATTAATTTTTTTAAAAACTTCTTCATATTCATTTATTGATCTCTCGTTACAAATTTTTTTAAAGAATTGACAACTTTTCGAAGAAATAATCGTGGAAAAAAGAGCAAAAAGGTTGCTCAAAAAGATTTTTTTCGGCACCTGTTTATGTTAATTTTTTTAGTACTTTTTATTTCAGCCTTTTCAGATACGCGATAAATTGATATAAAATCCTTTCTAACTTTTTCTAGCTACTTCAAAAAAATTACTAGGTTTGTTTTTTTATCAAATCGCTAAACTTTATTCAGAATTTTTTTCTTTTTCGAAACAGTTTGATTTCTAAAAAAATAATAAATTGCCATCAAAAAAAGCCACAGAATAAGGTCTTTAGGAAGTTCTATTTCTGAAAAACTTTCCATTATGAAAATCATAAAAACCTTGATTCTCCAAATCGAGGTCAATTTCTTCGTTTTCCACTCGTTCCTTTCCACCTTCTTCCATGTCCGCCGCTTTCAAAGCCTGAAATTTGATGAATAAACTCGAAAATCCAAAGAAATTACCGTCAAAAATTCATCCATCAAGGTGCAAGAATTGTAAACGTTTCCAATAGACCGATAAGCATCGTTGATGAGTTGCTCAACTTCAGGATACTTCAAAAAATTCATTAATTTCATAAAATTACACATTTCTAACATTTAGTAGGGAATTTGAATCGTCGTTGTCTGAGATGTGATTGGTGTGATAACCGTTTCGGTCTGAAAAATGGAACTATATATTTCTGTGTCCAAATATGACACACCTCTAACTCTAACTGCGATCGGAGAGGGGCAGACAGAAGCATCAGAATCGGAATTTGAAGAGAAAACCGGCGCCATTGAAGGCATTTGGTTCAAGTCATCGATGCACAAAGAAGAGAACCATGATTCGTTCAAATCTTCCCCTGACTCACTAGATTCACTCTCGCCAGCGATTTCGTTGACAGCTGAGAAAAATTAAGAAAAATAGGTGTTTTTTCCGAACCTTTCCGCAAAGCTGGTAGCGAGTCGGCTGGCACAGCTTCACCCATGTCTTGTAGAACATCTTCAATCTCCTGATCTGTGAACCAGTTAGAGTTCATTGAAATAGCAGACACTTTGTAAAGGAACGAAAAAAATCGGCTTCATTTTTGACGCCGCGAAATTCAAAAATCTATCAAGCAATTGGTGCACGGTATTTTTGCGAGCAGTACGCAAAATTGCAAACGCTCGCCAATTTTTCTTGCATTTTGTTTTACTTTTTCGTTTTTCCGTTTTTCGTTTTTCTTTGTTTGTTTCCATTTTCATATTGAACTTTATTTCATCTTAAAGGATTGTCTTGCAGAATGGCGAAGCACACAAAGTTCGAAAGCAGTGACGAAGAACTGGATACTCACAAAAAAAGGTGCTTTTCCGATTTTTGATATTTTCCTTTTACGTTCTAGTTTTCAGGAAAGAAAGAAAGAGTCCAGCTGAAGAAAAGCACGAGCACAAGGAGAGAAGTCAGAAGAAGGACAGAAGAGACCGTGAGCGATCGCCAGATAGGAGGGATGTCGAAAAACCGGTATGGGCTGATTCCCTGAAATTTTAGCGATTTATTTGTAGAATAGTGTAATTTATAGAATTTATACGGCTTGTAAACTTGTTGAAAGTAGGTTTTTTCGAAAATGTTTTGTAATCAGACACGGAAATTCATGAATTTCTCTCTAAAAAGTTCTCTCTAAAAAGTTCAATAAAACCCAGTTTTGAACGAAATAATTCTTACTGGCTCACAGTTGCTCTGGTGGCAACGAGTCGGCGCTGCAATTTAGAAGCCCACGCGACGTGACGACAACGATCGCCGGGATCGCGATCGCAGAGAGGATCGGCAACGCGACCGCGAATTTGACAATCGCCGGAGGGAGCGACACGAGCGAGGCGGTGACTTTCGCAGAGATCGACGGGGGGATCGTGATAAGTTTGACGTTCCCCAGGAATTTCGAATAAAGTTTCGAAACTTTCAGTGGAGGCAAGTTTGGTCAGAAATCGTTCGAGAAGAGGTTGAATCCCGAAGAATTGGCCCAGCAGAAGAAGTTGTTGTGGGGATCCAAGAAGGCGGAAAGCGATACTGCGCCTGATGTTGGTTTTTCAAACTGCTTAAGTTGTGCAAAAAGTTCATTATCTCACCATTTTTAGGACATCGTACGCTAGAAAAATTAATTAAAACCAAATTTTGAACTCCTTTTTTATGTCAAGTTGTTCATTCCCATCACTGATTTTCAACATTTCAATTGTCTCATGTGTTTCTTCCATTGCAAAAGTAATAAACTTCCACTTTTTCCTACATAAGTTTCATGACAAAACCATCTTTCCTGTTTATTTCATTTTCATTTCCAGACGTCAGCCAACGACGGCGCCGGCTCTTCCGGAACGACGGCAGCCGTTCCGAAAAACGCCGGCCTCTGGTCGAGCGCTATCGCCGCCACCGGAGTCGATGGAAACCAAGCCAACAAGTTCATGAGGCTGATGGGCGTCAAGAATGCTCCGGTTGAAAAGGCGGCGGTTGGTTTTCCAATATTTAACGAGAAATTACAACTAGAAACGATTTTTGTCATGTTTTTCTGATCATATGGTTTTTTTATTCCGACCCTTACAGCTTTTTAGTTTTAAGCCCAATATCAAAGTGAAGGAAAAAGTCGGTACAGAAAAATAATTTTCTTCTTTATATTCCATGTTTTCTTCTAGTTAATGAGAAGGTTCCCGAGTTACGCACGGCGTTCCCAAACGGGGGGAGGAGACGTCAAAAAAATTTTGGCGCGAAAATTCAAATCTCAAGTACGCAGCCAAAGGCGATCGAACGAACAAGTTATTGACGATGAATACTCAGTGTTATTTATGACGTAGAATGACGTCAATTTATCCGAAGCGCGCACTTCCTTTTCTGTAAATTTAGATAATTTGACGCCTCGCTCACCTTCCATCACCCCATCAAGAACACATTTTGTATTGGCTCAAAAATAATCTCTTCTAAAATTATTTAAAAGATTCAAATATTGTTCTTCGAATATCTATGTTCTTTTTTGTCCTAATTTTGGCTTAAGTTTTGTTTTTGACGAACTGAAAAGCCATCAAACTGCATAGAACGGCCAAAAACTTTACGGTTGTGTCATTTTTAAGCGGTCGAAAATACATTTTCTTTTCTGGTATTCAATCTAAAGCCGCATCCGGCCTTTAACGACTTGCTTATGGGATAAGATGGATATAAGAGAAAGTAGCTTTTGGTCAGGAACTGTAGTTAATGCGCTAGTTCTAAATGAGCGCGACATATTGAGCCAATTTTTGGTAGCTCCTTGACTTTTTATAGTGCATTCCGCGCGAGACAGTCAAGTTTTAAAATAACAGAAAAAAAATTCACTGTAAGCTCTACAAAACAGCCTCGGACATTGGTAACGCGAAACGGACGTGCTCCGGACGTTTCTGGGCGATTCTAGGGATCCCTTAAGAGTTCTGAGGCTACTAAAGTGGTCACTAGAAATGCCCCGACACGTCCGTTTCGCGTCCCGTTCGCGTTACCAAGGTCTGAGAGCTGAGAAGACAGCAAAAAACCAACGCATTGAAGCGAAGATGCTCAATTTTGATCTAATTTGGTTCACAGTATTTTTGACGAAAGGAAAACCGTGACAATTTCACGCGGAATGAGCTATAAATGATTAAAAAGCAAGAAAGTATTAATTTCTATTTGATGACCATCACAGTGTAAATATGAATTTCAAAATTCCACTCCAGTAATAAGTTTTTTTCAAGACCGACGGTAAGAAGATGGACGAGGAGCGGGTGAAACAGGAAAAACTGATGCGTGACCTCGACAAGCAGTACGCGATAGCTCGAGAATCCACCCACATGGGCCGTGGGATGGGCCTTGGCTTTCACTGACTCCTCATCTTTATTGTACCTTTTTTGTTTTGTACGTTCCTTGATATATTTGTAATAAATTTATCGTTTTCCAAAGATGAATCCTCGAGTTGAACCTTGAAAGATTGGAAACACCCTCGTAGTGTATATTTTTGAAAGAAGAAGGAAAATCGTTGCTTTATTGATCATAAACTCGCTTGATTTCACTCACTGTTTGTGCATAATTTATTCAAAAAGCCCTTTTGATTGTTTTTGAAGGCGCATGATTATTTTCAGGAAGGTCTTGAAGCGAAAAGTCTCTTGTGCCTTACTCAAAGTCTCTTCAGACTTCTGCGCCTTTAAAACGACTCAGAAAGGCTTTTTTACCGAACCTTATTCACGAAATTGTAACATAATTCAAGAAAATTCATTAAACGGAAAGAGTTGAGCATTTTAAGTAGGTAATTTCTGTGTTAGTCGGGGACCCGTAGACTTGGAAATATACAATCTTTTTCGAATTATTATTAGTCGATCAATTTCTCGCCAGACGTATTTTTGGTAGATAGATTGAGGGTGATGGCCAGTTCGATGGCCTGGACGTTATTTCTCAAGTCCTGGATCAGTTGTCTTTCGTGGTCCGCGTCTCTTCTGGAAGATATAAAAAAATTATATTTTTTTGTGCTGATGCACGTTTATATACTGTGGTATCTTTTTGCGGTCGCGAAGAGGTTTCTGGCGGGAAAAATTCAATTTTCAAGGCTTATTTATAAAAATTAACAATAACATGTTTCAAAACGCAATACAGTGTTCATCGAAGCCGGAAAAACTTTCTCCGAAATAGTTCGAATTTTTGCTTTGGAGCAACTTTGTTGCGTTTCACTGAATAAGTCTTTTTTTTTCGAGCCTAGAAAATATTCGATTTTTTGCCGGTTTTCTATTTTTTTTTCTATTCAACTGAAAAGCTAGTATCATAAAAATGATCAAATAACTATCAGGGAAGATTGAAAAAAAGGGGATTTTTTTTTAATTGGGTTTTCCCGCCGAAAACTGTTCCGCTATCGAAAAAAAGTTACTACGGTAAATCCATCGCTTTTCATTTTGCGAAAATTAATCATAAACAATTAATTAATTAACCTGGCTTGTAGTTGATCGCCGGGATCACTGCAAGTTGAGGCGGCGCTGATGCTCGAGTCGGATCGCCGTGGACCCTTCTTTTTGAGGTCTGAACTTTTTTTTTTTGCGTTCTCAGAAGGTGCATCATTTTTTGAAAAAAGACCCTTTTTAAAGGACAGAATTCAGGAAAGTACTCGGGAGTATGAGAAAATCCAGACAATTACGAAAAAGCTCAGTCAAAAATCAGTAAAATTTTTGCTGTAGTTCTTAAAGGCGCATAGACAATTTTTTTTAATAGGTCACGAGGGGAAGATACATGTTCAGTGGCTTTTGAAGCTATACAAAAGATTTTGCGCACATGAAAATTTCAGCAATGACTTTTGAAATGGTAGAAATAGTATGCTCCGTTCAGATTTTGAATTTCATTAGAGTGAGGTCATTCAAAAACACGCCGTGGATAGCTCGCTCTCTGATTGGTTTATCGCGTCATTAGGGGCGGAGCTTGAGAGCCCGCTTGACGTTCAAAATTCGAACAGACTATAATTTACCCGTAAAGCTCTTGAAAGTCACAAAAAATTTTCCATTTTGTACTTTTTGATGAGTAAATCAGTTCTTGGCATAAGTTTTGAAATTTTTGGAACCAGAAAAAAATCTCTCACATCTCGTATGTGCACTGCGACACCAATGAAGCGCTTCTTCATCGCAAATCTCGGCAAATTCCAAACAAAGGAAGGAAAATCGGACGATTGTCGTTAGAAACTCGCCAGATGTCTGTTTTAGAGACGAGAGAATCACTCGATGGTGATCCTGAAATAATAATAGGCATAAAATATTTTTTTGAAAAAAATCGGAAAAATTAGCGTTCATTAGGGTTTCTCCGCTCGAAAAAAATGACCAAAAATGGTTGTTTTTAGAATTTTTTGTACGGCAGGGGTCTCAAAAATAGCCAGTTTCTTTGTTTCAAATCTTTCTGGCTTCTTCTTTTGGGGAAATTTTTTAAAAATATACTGCGAAGCCCAATTTTGATCGCCTTAAAGAAAAAAACGAACCTTGAGATCCTGGAAATGTCGCTCCATCTCACTCATGAACATTGAAAAACGGATCGTCGAGTAGACCCAATAGACGAAATTTTGATATTCGGCCAAAAAAAAGGCGAGGTTCGTGTCTTCTGAAGAAGGGATTTTCAAAGGCGCAAATGGAAAATAATTATGACTTTATCATTTTCAAAAATTACATGTGGTATAGTCTGTACGCCATGATTTGAAATTTCACGGAACGACATTCCGCTGTTCCGCTGCGTGCGTTCGCGGAGCGTCTTTCGAATCTAGGTCACGCTTTCAATTGATTGTTATTGCTGTGGGAGCAAATGAAAGTAGAGCACCTTTATTAAAGAAAAAAAAAATTAGAAGCGCGACCAAAGTTCGCAAAGGCGCACAGCGGAATGTCGTTTGGTGAAATTACAAGTCGTGGTACACAGACTATAAGTGAACTATTTATCAAAACCTTCACGTCGGATCTGAACGGTTTGCTCCTTGAGAACGTTGAGCAGCGCGATCGCATCCAGTAAACATTCGCGTTTTCGAGACACGTCCGTCTCTTTGTAATACTCGTCCTGGACCTCCCCCCGTAGCTTTCCGACGTCTTCTGATGGCGTCCTGAAGATTCTTGCGGCTTTTAAATTATTTCGAAAAAAAGTCTCTATTTGACTTTTATGTTTCAAAAATGATTAAACATAAGCGAAACCAAAGTTCGATGATTTTTTATAGTTGGCTACTGCATTCTTTGCAAGCTTGTTACACCTGAAAGGAATTGTTGTTCAGTTTTTCAAAACGATTTTGAGGGATTCATTGTACGAAAAAATCAGAGAAATACACGGAATTGGTCATTTTTCAATGTGAAACGTTCATTTTTGTGCAGGCTATTTCTAAAATTTATGAAACTTTACATTTAGAAAAACTGTTTGAAATGAGACCTAAAATAGGCTACTTGGAGAGGTGACCACTATTTCCCGTTTTAGTGGCCACTATAAAGGTTCTCTATTTAGTGGCCACTTCAGTAGTTATTCATCCAGTAACTCTGATAATTAAAAAAAAACAGGTTGGATTAGTTATGTTAAACCATTGACCCCTAAAGTGGCCACTAAAATTTTAAGTGGTCTAGTATTAGCACTTAGACCTCTATAGTGGCCACTAATTTTTAACCCCTTGAGTGGCCGTCAATTTGACTACTTTAGTGGTCACTTAAACGTCCAAAACCCTATAGTGACCCCTAAAATTTTTCCCAGAAACTGTTTTTGACAATGAGAGAACGAAATTTATTCCCAGCTTCGAGTTTGGTACTACAAACTTCAAGTTCTGAAACTTTGGGACTGCCATTTTGGAATTTGAACAAATTATAACTGCCAAATTATTTCTTCAAAAATCTACTCTTCTAGATAAAAAATATTGAAAAGTGTGAATTTTTTGATTTTCTTTTCAAGCACTATCCCAAAAAAATAAAAATCCTACTGAACAAATTCCAACCTCTGATTATTTTTCAAGAAATCCTGAAGATAGGTGCAATTGTAGGAGAGGTTCCTCGAGGAAGAACAACACCTTGAAGAGGACGATGAACTGTTTTCAGAAGACCAACTTTTGGCGGCATCTTCTGAAAATCTTGAGGTTATTCATTGATTTTTTGGATTTTTCCGAAGACCTTGCCGAAAATCCAAAACCGATTGACGGTGTGGAGCGTTGCGGGCTCGCTGCGCGTGTGATATGTGTAGCATTTCTGAAAATTTATTTTCATTAGATGAGCTATTTTTGTTGAGGGAATAATAGAAAAAAATGTATCAACGTCCGCAAAAATAAAGAAAAACTGGGGATTTTTTTAAAATACAAAAACTCGGGCAAAGTCTGAGTGGTGGATAATGGCCGCTAAAAAAGAAAGGCTCAAAAAAGGCAGCAAAAAGAGTCCCTTTATCGAGATATCCATTTTTTCTAGAACTTTAAAGGCTCAAGAAATGGTGGAAAAAGGGAGAGGCAGCAAAATTTTGTATAATAGCCGATAAAATGGCGCAAAAAGGCAGCAAAAAGGGAGCCTTCGTTACCTTAAAAGGAACATTTCTATGGACTTTTACGGACCCTCGGAGGGTCCTTCCGACTTTGCCTATGGAATTTGAAAAAAAAAACTTCAATAATCGTACAAAACAAAATAACTGCAAATGCATGACTCTATACAGTCCCAATCAAGCAAATAAACAGTATCAGAGTGATAAGAAGGAAAGGTAAACGTACTAGTATAGTGAAAGGAAAGAGAAAGGGTAGGTTTCTGAAGGCAACAAAGAGAAATTATCGTTTGGAATGAAAAACGGAAATGAGAGTGTGTAGAGAAGGTCATTGGGAGGTCGGAATTTGAGGTTTTGTGTTTTTTGGAATGAAAAGAAGGTCGAGAAATTTTTGTCAAAGAAATGTATCCATATAATAGATTTGTTCTAGAGAATTAGTTCTTCAAAAATTTTTACTTTTGAACTACAAGGGTGTAGTTTTGAGCTTGAAACATTTGAAAATCGTTATTTCGAACCCCTTTTTGTTCAAGATTTTGAGTTCATAATTTTTTTGGCCTCATCATCAGCTGAAATAATTTTTTTTGTGATATAAATGGCAAGAAAGACGTCAGTTTTCAGCCGGAGTTCGTTATTATCCGATTATGATAATGATAAGTTTTTGGAGTTGATAAGGAATGTTGGAAGAAGGAAGTAGGAAAGATAGAGGTTTGAATAAAAAAATTAACAGGTCGTTTAGGAGATTTTTTCGAAGCTTGTTTTTATTTTAATTTTAAAGTTTTTAGAGACTGACCAGTAAGATTACAAACACAATAAAATTTTCATAAAAACAGTTGGGATTTTTAAAAATTTTTAATAATTTTTATGATCTACTAGTCTTAAAGGCTAACTTCGAAATAAACCCTTTAAAAATTGGAAATCTTCGAAAATTAAAAATTCAAGGAAAAAAAATCTCAAAAAGTCGATAAGAAGCTTCAAAAAATTACAAAAAAATGAAGAATTTCAACAGAAGCCAATGGAATTTTTAGCACATGTAGGCGTGGGTTTTGGTACGAATCTGTACAATATTTGAACAAGAGTCCATCGAAAAACTTCGCCTCCCAAAAAGCGGAGCCAACAATGGGAAATTGATGATTCATATCACTGATAAAATCAGGATTTTTCAGTTTGAAACAGGAAAAATGTTGTAAAATAAAGAATTTGAGGATGAAATAGCTTCTATGAAATTTTGGGAGAAAAAAACGGGTTTTTCGAATTTTAGTATGTTGAGGTAGACGATAGGTGGAAGAAGTTTAGAAAATGAATGAAAAATTGGAGATTCTTATGAGAATCTATTGATAATCATTTTATCAGTCCACGAACTTTGGTAAATCAGAAAGAAATCGAAAATATTTGTCTTTTTAGTCTTAATTTTTGACTTGCTGATTAGTTTGTTTATTGAGATCACCTTTTTTTGAAAGTCTTGAAATGATATGACGAAAAAAGCTGAAATTAACATTAGAAACAAAAAGTTTTTTTGAACTCACAGTCAGAATTTGTGGTGAGAAGCTTGAACAAGCGGAAAAATAGGACCCTAGATTCCATTTATTTGAATTTTTCCAATTTAAATGAAAATAGTTGAAATTCGAAAAAAAATGCTCAACTTTCGGCATTATGAGGCATTTCTAAAAACCTGGCCAGTCTACGTTTCAGATATACTTTATGACTCTTCGCAAAAAGTTGTTCTTAATTTCATATGAGTTCGGGAAAAAAACGAGATATTGATATAATGACAAAAAAAAACGCGTTCGAATATTTTTTGGAGTTTTTATTGTTTAAATATCCTTCTTTTTGATTAAAATGAAAGAAATTTCAGTTTGTTGTAGACTTTTTGGAACTGCCAAGTTTGAAATTGAAAATCATTAATTTGTCGATATCAAATTTCGAGAATATTTTTGGAGAAAAAGTTAATGTCTATTCAATTAAAACTATTAGTTAGAGAAGAAAACCAGAAACTTTTTGCTGAATTGGAGCTGAAAAAAAGGTCGAAAAAAGGGAGATTTTCAGAATTCTCGCTCAAAATAACATGTATTCTGGATCTTCGGGTGAAAAATTCGTCAAATCCATGTTTTGCTCAATAGATATAGGCCACTCCGCGCCAGCTTGTCACGTTTTTCTTGCCGCCAAAAGGCCAGGTCAAATTCAGCCAAATTTCGCTTCAAGACCTTTGTTTCTTGCCGTTATAAAAGCAGAAATTTGATCTCATTTGGTATACGGTCTTTTTGGCGGAAAGAAAAACGTGACAAGCCCGCGCGGAATAGGCTATAGAGTATTATTGTTGTTGTGATGGAACTAAGAAAAAAGCCGGTTCAAAACTCGACATACTGACTTTTTTTTAGGAAAAATACTCTAGTATGAGCAATAATGAGCGTGTGAGATATTAGACTTATAGAATTTGAAATAAATTATTCTAAACCTTGTGACAAACTTTGGTTGAGATTCGTCTTTAAAAAGTTTGTAAATGCCTAAAAGCTGCAGTTTTTCTATTTTAATTGTCTTTTTGGAACACCAGAAGCTTAAAAAACATCATTTTTTCTAAATTCCATGCTCCGGATAATCTAAACTTTATCAATATTTGTTTTTAGTCGATAAAAAATACTCGATTGTCAATTCAAGGGGGAGGGCTTAAAAGTTGGGACTGCCAATTTTGGGCTTCACAAACATCAGATCAATGATAATAAACAAAAAAAATGGATTATAATAAATCAGATCATAATAAAAATAAGCGAACTTCAAAAAATCGAATTTAATAAAAAAAAAAGGCGAGAATTCGTTGATAAGAGCACGAGTTTTCAGTAGTGTTTGAGTGGGGATTGACGTGAAGAACGTGTGTGTGTATGTGAGCTCCGTGGCGAACAGAAAGACAAACAGATGAGTGAACGAAGAAAACGAAGAAACAGTTGAAAAAAGAGCCAAGTCGAAGAGAACGAGCCGTTGAAAGTGTTCGCGTTTCATTGAAAAGAGTGGACTGTACATAAGGAATGGATCAGACTAAGCTTAACGATAGAAAAAAGTGACAAGGACATCAAGAAACGCGATGGTCGCACGTAGAATGGCTCAAGACCATACGTGTGCAAGTAAAGCACTTGGTAAGTCCGGAAGGAGGTCTTGCAACAATATTGCAAAATTATGGCAACTTTTAAATTTATGGGGGTAACGAAGGTAAAGTTAATTTCAAACGCAGGAAGCTAGTTCTGACTTTAATTTAAAAACACTTGGGAAAATGAGATGGCGTCTTTTAAATAAGGTCTGTATACTCAAGTCGCACCCGACCCGAAACGGTTTACGCTCGAAGGAAATAGAAAGTAAGGGGGCGAGGTGACCCCACTGATTTTGTCGAAAATCTGAAGATTCTGATTCAAAAACTTTTCGATTTCTTCCAATTCCTAAAGATTGACTTTTTTGGAACGTGCTTGAAAATTTTTAGAGCGCAATAAAAAGAGAATTTCAACGGAATTTGAAATTTTATTTGTAACGAATAACATTTTTCGATTCTCTAATGATACAAGCTTCTATAAAACTCTCTGGTTAGAAACTAGAATATATTTTTTCTCAGGGAACGTTTACTCAAGATTAGCCTACTGCAAGAAAAAAAGAGAGGAAGAAAAAAAGGGGAATGTTCGACGATTTTGGGATTATACGTCAGAGAAAGTAGAGTGAAGGAAAAATGATGGAATTTCGATCCAATTCAAGAATTTTATAAGTAAAATTTCTGACGAAGACGAAAAAAACAAAAAAATGCAACTGAATTTTAATATTCAAATTTTTTCAAATGAAACATTCACGAGATTCGAAAAATAAGACGAATTCTCGACTATTTTTACCTGCAGAACCAAAAAACCAAAAGAAAATAAGACGCTAAGTGGTTGGTGAATAGAGAAATGGGAGCGTTTTGTGTGTACCTAACAGAGCTTTTGGAGAAAAGAATGGTGATTTCGAACTTTGCTTGGTCAAATATTGAGGAAAACTCTCTTTTCTTCGTACTTTAGTTGGTTTGGAAGTACGGAAAATTAGAACTGTGAGAAAAAAAAATCGATAAGTTTTAGCAGAGCTGTGCGGGGGCCGGATAACCAGTCGCAATCGGAAAATTTTTCTCTCATTTTGAAAATTGCAAACTTTTCGATCACTTACTCCCCGAGTGTCACGCTCTCAGAGCTTCGAAACAAAAAAATTCGAAAAAAGGCAAATTTTCGACCGCTTCGCGACCGCGTTGCAACGCTTCAGCCAGTTCAGCGCACAGATGCGGTTTTAGGCGGGGAACATAATTTTATTAGAGGAAATGAGCAAAATATTCGCTTTTAAGAGGGGAGGAAGTTGAATTGGATCTTCAAGACGAGCAACAAAGGTTCATTTTAAACGGGTATAAAAGTTTGTAAAATGATTGATTTTCTCTCATTTTTCATTGTTTTTGAATTTCTTGTCTGGAAGACTTACTGGACAAAAAAGACGAAATTCTCAATTTTTAATAGTTCTAAACGAAAAACGGAGGTCCTGTCCGTGCTTAAGCCCGTTTTGAGGTGTCATAAGGAGCACATACAAAATTTAAAAGGTCTCGAGACGAAAAGTCTTTTTTATCAACTTTTTAGATACAAAAGGCTTCGATGAAGGGTCTTCGAACAGAGGAGAAGAAAAGATAATTTTCAAAATTACGAAGTATTCCATCGTATTGCTCATCTTAGAGACCA